TGAGATTTGCAATTGGCACATGCTGAATTCACCTATAATGGGAGTCTTAGTTCTACTACGAGTCACACTCCATTTGAGATGTTGTATGAAGTAAACCCACTTATCCCTTTTGATCTCACTTCTCTACCCCTTGATTTGGAGCCAAGTGTGGATGCTAATGAGAAATTGAAGCAAATGAAGAAAACTCTATGAAACCATGAGAGCTCAAATTGAAAAATCAAATGAAAAGATCAAGAATAAGGCAAATAAGTATAGAAAGCCTAAGCTTTTCAAACTGGGGGATTTAGTGTGGATTTACTTGAGAAATGAGACGTTTCTAAGTGAGAGAAAGAGTAAATTAGCTCCTAGGGCAGATGGGCCTCTTGAGGTTGTTGAAGGGGTAAATGATAATGCTTATAAAGTGGAGTTGCCTAGTGAGTATAGTGGAGTCTCGGCCACCTTCAATGTGGGGGATCTAAGCCCATACTTGGAGGATGATTTGGATTTGAGGGCAAATCCTTCTCAACCCGGGGAGGATGATATGTTTACAAGTCCTAAAATACTTGTAAACATGAGTGGACAATGAATTACAAGCTCTTAAACACTTGCTAATTTGGTTGAATTGAAAATTTTCACTCCAAGTCCTAAAACACTTGGATTGTGGAATGTGGAATGCAATGGAGGAAATTTGGCCCAAGCAAGTTCCAAGGAGGGAGGGGGTCCAAACAGTTGGGCCCATACTATTCCAAGTCCAAGCTCAACCCACTAAGAAAGAAGCCCAAGTGTTAAAGTGGTCCAATTCGGCCCAAGTCTCATTCCAAAGGGGAAGGTCCACATGAACCCTTATTGGATCCATTTGCAAGATTCTCAAGGCCCAAATTCTTACATCCTACTTAATTAGGGTCATTGATCAAGTTTTGATCTAATAAAGTAAGCTTATTTCAACTAATGGGGTGGTTAAAGACATAGATACTAGAATTAGGGAATCATGTCTCTTTTGCATTAAATAGGCATGGCCTTGCTTTTTGAATGAATGGCTTGTAATATTAGTTCATTTTATTTCATTTTAATGTATTTATCAATTACTTGTTTATCCTTGTATTTGCCTATATAAGGGCAACTATTTCCATTGTAACATTTAACTTATGAAATATATGAAAATTGGTTTATCCATTTGAGAGAGAACTTTTGTGTTCTATGTTTGTGCATTCTTTATCCAAGTCTTGGCAAGGGGATTTGGTGGTGAATCAATTTAAGTTGGTGGAGCAATCCTTTATGCTTAAAGTGTTTCTACTTGTTTTGGTCCAAATTTGCAAGTAAGTGTGAGATTGTTCTTGTTTTGTATTTGGCCGAATTTTAACTTGGATTTATGGCATGTCTTGTTGTTGAATTGGTTGGAAATGGATCAGTCGCACTATAGGCTGTAGTCTCAAACCGAAGAGCTCGAACTATGCCTAGCATAATCGGGTGCTGAGAGCTAGGACTGCGAACTGAGTGCTTGGAGTGATCCGAAGCTGAGAGCGATCTGATAATTGACATAAAATGTCTAGTAGATGAATTTTTTAAGAGAGCTGACGTCAGAAGCCCAAACACAAGGCTTAAAGGCCTTAAACGAATAAGTCAACTTAAAACAACCATAACTTTTGACTCGGGAGGAGTTTTGGAGCTCATAACAACTATAACTTAAAATAACCATAGCAACGCATGGAAAGCCTGTTCTGAGCTTTACATCGTGGCAACCGGGAAATCTGGTAAAAGCCATTTTCGGGGCCAAAATCCACCATTTCGACATGTTTCAAGGTTGTTTTGAGTTTTCTATGCGTTTTTTCTTATGCTAGGAGCTGGTCGCGATCTGAGAATTGATCGCGATTGGAGAGCTGAGAATACGACCTGAGGTTGTTCGCAATCTCAGAGCTGAGAGCTTATCGCTATTTGAGAGCTAGGAGTTGATCGCAATCTGATAGGGGCTCGACCTAAAAGCTTAAGGCGTGCGATCTGAACTATCCACAACATGCAATCAAGCAAATGAGCGAGCTTATGAGCTCGATAAGAGAGCATAAGGAGCTCGATCAAAGAGCATAAAGAGCTCGATATGAAGCACGAGGAGTTTTAATCTGAGAACTTAAGAGCTCTTTACAATCTGAGAGCTTGAGAGCTCTTTGCGATCTCAAAGCACAAGGAGTTCGATCAGAAAGCATATAGCACAAAAGTTCGATCAGAAAGCGCGATCTAAATGATCTGAATGCGTGATCTCAACGATCTTGAACGTGTGATCTGCGATCTGACCACACGATTTGAGAGCTTTGATACTTGTGATCTGTAATCTGACCACCTGATCTAAGAGGTTTGATGCATGCAACCTATGATCTAACCACGTGATCTGAGAGCTCTGATGCGTGTGAATGTGTGCGATCTACGATCTAACCATGCGATCTTACAACTCTGATGCGTGCGATCTGGCCATGCGATCTTAAAGCTCTGATGCTTGTGATATGCGATCTGACTACACGATCTGAGAGCTCTGATGTGGAACAGGCTTTAGTATTTTCACATCTGATAACGTGAAGATTTTAAGGCTTGCTAGAAAAACATGGAGAGATGATGTGAATCATGCCCTCTTTTTAGCGTCAAACTGTTGATGCTTGATTTTGACATAAACGACTCGTGCATGCAAAGTTTTAAGCTGTTCTTAGAAATTACACGTAAATGATTGGGATAATCGAATGCAAAGGCTAAATAATAAATGAGAGATGGTTTTTAAAGTGGTTTGGATGTTTGAAGCAAATCATACATGCACTAGTATTTTACATGTGAGAGATTACAAGAGATCGCATATAGCGAACAGCTAACAGAGGTACAATAACTGAGTATTCAGATAGAATATCAATTCAGTCTCTTTCTCGCAGGTTATCTTTGCTCTGAAAATTAAAGATTACAATCAGAATAAGGTTTCAAGATTGGAATCTCGAAAATGAGAGCGGGAGTCCTCTATTTATAGTGGAGGAATTCAATGTAATGATTACAAATCTGAAAGTGGGTAGGTGCCGTGTAAGTCCTTCCTTGCCTCCCATTGGCTGATAACTTATGAAATATCCTCAAATTACCTAAGACTTGGACAAGTGTGTGGCCCTCAATCACTCACAGACAAAACTTGAATCTGCCAAGTTGATAACAGCCATATTCTTCATGTCTTGGGGCAACATGGCAGCTCTAGGATGACGCAAAACCTTTCTGAACTCTAATTGGTATTTGCTAATGTAAGTTTACGTCAACCCTGACTTTTTAGGTATAACAAGTTTTAATGGTCATCCTTATTAATAATTGTGAGGACTCAAACTTAATAAACCATGTCAGGCCTTCCTCCACAAGTGTAATCTCTAATCTCTTTATGGCATTTTATCAAAGACGCATTTCTAGGAACCTATTTATCACATAAATAATGGGTTTATAACATTTCCTCCTCAAGGTTTGAGGAAAGTAAAAAACACACCCGAAGGTTTCAGATAATAACAAATGTACTTGAAAAAGTGTTTTTTTTTATAAAGACTATAATACCCTTTGTCTAATATATATATATTAATTTTATTTCTTTAATTTTTATTTTACCTATATATCAGAAGTGTTATAGTCTGTTTTGAGTTATCTCTTCTCTGTGAGAAGAAAATCGATAAAAAAGCTATCTCCCTCATTCGTGTTTCCTTTTATTCAGACTAAAACGGCTTCTACTTCTTCTTGAGAAGAAAATTGATAAGAAGAAATCTCACACATAACATTTGTTATGTCTAATCTTTCTTTCTACAATTTTATATTTATAGTAAATTCATATTTAGTTGTCTGATACATTATGATTGGGAAAGTAAAATGTAAAATTAACTCATTAAATGAAGGTAAATAACCTATCAATTAAAGTATAATGACACATCATTTTATATAAGAAGTGTTTTCTTTTTGGATAACTAAACTATCTTTCTCAATTTTTATTAAACATCTTACAAAATTCATGGATGAGATAATTAACTCAAGCAGATGATAGATTACTTGGGAGCAGGGAGGTAATTAATTAAAAACCCCTGTTAACAGTTACATGCCATTTAATTCCTTTCTTTAAACACTTCCCCATGTAACGGTTTCTTGTTCCTTTAACCGCGGGCCGACATGGGGCGACGTCCAAAGGCAGGCACTGTTTCTGGGACCTTAAAGTTAATCCACTGAACTTAAACCATCAAACTTCAACACATATGGCCACGGGTCTATCTATCACTCGTGATAGGATTAAATTTGGTGTAGACGTGGCACTGACGCTGCATCCAAAACAATTAAAATATCTTTTTGCCTGCCTCAATGCATGGGTGCATCACCGTTGGCCGTTTTGGAATCAGGATCAATCACTATCAAAACGGCACGACCTTTTATGTTTTGACTCTGTTCTAAAACCAGTCCCCTGTTTCGTAAACCACCAGAAAAATCCCGCCCTCGAATTTCAAGGGCATTAAGCAAAGATTTTCACAATTAGTCAAAGAAAAATCAATTACTGGTTGAAAATAATAAAAAATCATTCAATTATTTGGTCAAAATTTATAAATTAAGAGGAATAATCAAATTCTTTAAAAAGAAACATACCCAAATATAGAGTTAAATTACGGGGTGTCAAATGAGTTTGCTTAATTAGGGCAATTTAATTCATATATGGAATTTTTTTTTTAAATTAAGTAAATAACCAAATAAATAATTAATTCACGCGGAATAATAAACAGAAAACCACCAGCCACGCAAGCCCCGCGGTTTTTATTCGTTCCTTTCCAGCATCAGCTTGTCTTTATTCACCGCACTCCTCACATGGTTATCCGTTAATGTTTTACTTTTAGTCTTCCCTAACCTTTATAAAGCCCGCTTCTCTCACTCCCCCTCACGCTACTTTCATTTTCTCAACCACCACCACCACCACCACCTCCACCTCCACACCCTCTTCCTCCTCCGCATTATCGTTAATATTATTAACTAATATTTTTACTATAGTTAAAATGCATAATGATTGTGTTTCTCTGTCGCTGAAGAACAAGATCAAATCCTCGATATGTTGTTTCCGTATGCCGCCTGATCAGCTTGAATCTTTAGATTATCACCAGCCGAGGACGCCGAGGTCTCCCAGGTCTCCGTACGCGTGGTTGAAATCTCAGTCGCTGGAGCTTCTAGAACCCAAGGATTGGCGTAGGGGTTTGTTTGGTAGGGTATGTACCACTGCCAAGAGCCGAAAGCCTTACAACTCGGCAGATTTCAGTTACGATCCGATGAGTTACTCGCTCAATTTTGAAGATGATCGCACCAGAGACGACGAGCCAATGTGCAGCTTCTCGTCGCGGTTGCCAACCTCGCCGGAAAGATCGTCGATGCCGAGGGAGATAATTGCGTACGTTTAGATAAAAAAAAAGTTTCAAATATTTAAATTAGGATTCGAGTTCTGGATGATTACCGTTTGGAGCATGTCAGAAGACGAGATGAGATAATTAAAATGGAGGTTAGAATTTTTGAATCGGCCTCAAGTGAGTCAGGCAGGACTCTTCAATCCTTCGAGGTTTATATGTACATAGGCAAATCAAAGGAAAACAAAAATTAAGTGATGTATTTGAGTTACTAATTACTGAATAATCAACTTAATTATGATTTTCATTTTGAATTTTTGGATGAATTAATAACAAAAATATTAATTTTATTAATTACTGCCTTATTTTACAGGCATTTTATTATGAAATTCAATTAATGGAATCAATTCGAGTTGATATAATATATACTTCTTGCTTTCGGCATATAAAGGAGAAAGAGATATGAACACCCTTTATCTTGTGGATTATCACGTCATTTGTTTTTTCCTTTTTGGTAATAGGGTATGTTCGAGTCAGTTTGTATACACCTTAACTAATCTTTCAAAATCTTAAAATTAATGGTTAACTGAGGGGAATCGAACTCAAAACCTTTTAAGTAATACACTAAAAATCTTATTACATTATCTTTTTTGACGAACTTTTGCATGAATACATATAAAATTGTTATTAAATTATTAATAAATGTCATTGAATTAGTAACATAAAGTTAAGAGATCTTTCAAAGTGACTTTATTTGTGGCCACACCACACCAGATGAATTCAACTACTAGATTTAGTTGAAGGGTCAAAATTATTAGAAAAAGTGTCGTTTAATCTAATCTTTAACTCAAAGTTATTAGTTGATTGATTCATCTATTTCATCAGTTGATGGAAGCATTTTATTGATATCCCAACACATTACACATCACTTAATTGATTTCTCTAATCTGTTAATTTTCTAATAAGTAAAAAGCTTAATCCAGAGCCTAACTCTTTAATTATTTGATGTCGACATATTGATTTTCCTGTGAAAGTAATCACTGAATGATTAAGGCAAGCTTCAACTTGAGAATGAAGGCGATTTTGTCTTTTTCAATCAGTCTAAAACCATCTTTAATTAGTTCTAATCATATAACTTAGCCCAGAAGGGGTGACTCCGTGTAGGAATTAAGAAATATTGGGAAGTTGGGGTGATTAAATTGGCTTAAAGAAGTATTCAAGACAATAATTAATTGGCAGCGTTCGGACTCGCCAGGCTGGTTTCGTTTGTCGTTTGTGTTAAGTTAGCATTAAGCAACCACACACAGCCACAGGCGTGGCCGAACCATCGGTGCTGCTATGCAATTTGTCGCTTAATTATTTGCTAATTATGCATTAGCAATTATAGTTGCATCCACGATATAAAAGAGATTCTGTCTTGGCTACTGAAGAATGAAGGAAATTTATAAAAAGCATGCAGCCCTGTAACTCCATGGTTTAAAGCATACATTTTTTTAATTTTAATAATTTTTTAAATTTATTTATTTATTATACAAAAAAATTGGTTTATTCCACAGCAAATCAACATTTATTGTCTGTCTTGGATCCTGAAATCTAAAAAATGTCTTTGGGTGATAAGGGTTTTATAAACGATTAAAACTTTCATCTCTTAATCAATGCAAGACACTGGAATCAACAATAAAGTTTAAATAAGAGATTTATTATCATAATAAAAATAATTATATTTTGAAATTTGTTTTATAATAGACATTTGTAACATTATGAATACCCTGTACCACAACTTTTATCTATAATTTTACTGTACTTATAAAATAAAATACGCTGTTAATGACACAATAGGACAAGATCACAAGACATCATTGTTCATAACTAAACTTGATCTTCAAAAGCAGAAGACAAAAGTAAACAGCTGTGTTCGGGTCTTTAACTGTCAATGAACAGGTGCCACATCAGCAACAGCTGCGCTTCATTCGCCGGCAAATTCATTCAGTCATGTAATCCTTTACGAACAGGTATTTTAACTAACTAATACTCATCTCACGTTGCTGTCACAGTTAATCAACGACAGGCCAGTTATGATAAACCTAACACAATAAGAAATAAAAAATAATTTACATTCTGTTACGTGGCACATTACCATTTGAGTGTAGATTATCATTATACATTTCGTATGTCACGTCTCTCTTCAAATAATTCTCGTATAAATAGATCCCAGGCTCTTCTCAACTCTTTACTTTGCCACCTTGATATTGAGAGTCACCCGTTAACGATTCTTTAAAGACTTCCTCGTATTCATTGTTTGTTTCAAACATGGCGAACCCACAAGAGAAATTAGAGTCGATTAAAGAAACGACGCCGTTGACAGATGATGATAACTATATTGAAGAAGATGATCAGTGCTACGAAGAGGCGGCTGTGAAGACCTGCGGTTACTGTGGCTGTTTCGAAGAACTTTGCTTCTTGTGGCATCGAAGCAACAAGAATGGCGGTAAAGGTAGATATTTGCTTCATCAACAGCAACAAGAGAGGGGGATCAGAGAAAGTTGGCTGAAGAAAAGAGTGAAGAAGGTCAAGGAGATATCAGAAGTTTTAGCGGGGCCAATATGGAAGACTTTTATTAGAAGATCTAGTAACAGTCTAAATGGAATAAGCAAGAAGAGAAAGAGTCACATGCAGTTTCAGTACGATCCTCAAAGTTATAAACTCAATTTTGATGATGGGTCAGACTGTGGGCATATTGATTTCTTGGCGAGATATGCAGCTCCAGTAGTTAAGATCAGTAAAGGAGAGTTGGGGATAGAAGCGGCTTGTTAATTAATAGTCCTTTTGCTTTGTTAATTCATAATTCTCTTTTGTACTTAGTATATCGTTTGTTTTGATTCTTTCTGCAGTTCTAGTAGAGGAAATTTATCAATTAGTGATCATCAAACGGTGAACTGCGTTTTTGGTACACCCTTTTGAAGTGAATTATTTCGATACGTTGATTCTGGTTCTGTTCTTGAATTCTTTCAAAATCACTGTATAACTTACTGTGAAATTTCCACACTATTATGTTGGAGATAAAATTCATACACAGAACGATCCACGCGAAGAAGTAATGGTAGAGGAGTTGTATTGAAACTTGGGGCCTTTGGACATCACGTAAGAGTAAACTCTTTTAAGTATTTTTCTCTTTAGTGGCAGAAATTAAAAACTAGTTCAATCTCTTTTGTTTTTTTAGTATCAGGGTGTCAGGCCAATTTGACATCCCTAAACTAGTTTTATAAGATTTTGAAGTTAACGGTCAGATAAATTTTTAATAATTATCTATTATTAATAGTCGTAGAGATTTGAATTCGAGACCTTTTGAGTAATACACTCAAGAATCTCAAACGAACCGTTAAACTACCTAAAGGTAATTAGTTCAATCTCCTTCTGTTGATCTCTTGCATCTGTCCATCTCGTAATTGATGGCAAATTTTATTGTCAGGCATGTATTTGGCTATGATTTTGACAGCAAGCAATTGTTTCAAACATTTTTAACTCAGCTTTTACTATTAGTTTTACCCTTTGTCAAACTCAATTCAGTAAGCAATCGCTGTAGCATTTGTTGGTTGGTTTGGCGAATGTAATACTAAAACTTTTAGGTTTATTGATACAAAATTCACTTATAATTACACTGCGCGAAAACAGAACAATTTTGAAGAAGTTTCAACCAACAAACTACCTAATTTATACCTTTTATAATTGCTGCAAATTTTAAACTAAATTACAGTGCCAAGTATAAAATCACTGGTATAACTGTAAGAAATTAAACCAAGATTATTACACTGTACACCCACAACCTCTCACTATTCTTATTCACAAATATGATGTGCGAAAACAAAAATTATAAATCCATCAATATGTGTGAAATGGATAATTCAGTTACAGTTATATAATTCCTAAATACTGAACTTAATTCCTAAAGATATTGCATCACATACATAGCACCACATCCATATGCAAGACTTTTATGTATACATGCAAAATATGGCATGAATCGGGTTCATCATGACCTCACCTTCCTCATTAGCCATTTTTATTCTTCTCGATAGCATATAGCAAAATATAGCTCTATTCAATTGTAACCCCAATCGTTTCTGAAGCCCTATCTGTCACAGTTTCTATTTAGTAGGTGTATGTCGAAATTATCACTGGTGTTGAAGCATGAAAGAGATTATCCAGGTCGGTCCTTGGATAGTCTTCAATTTACATGAATCGATCACCATTGTTTTCACCTGCATTACTTCTTCCCGAATTAAGGTTGGTGTGAAGCTCTAGAGAATTTAGAATATACAAAAAGTATTATTTGGAATACCTTTTGCGTTTGCTCTTCAAGACAGTTGAAGTTGAAGGATTACTGTGCCAATTCCTCTTCCTCTGATTGATGAACCAATTATTTATCTGTTTTAATTGCAAACCTGTCTCCTGCACCAGCCTAGCCTTATCTTCCTCCTGAAACATCACAGGAATAAGAGATGTGGCATACTGACATTCTAAAGTTTACAACATGGAGAGACCTAGATTATAAATACCAGTTTGGTGACTTTTTATTTCATAATCTGTAAGTATTGTTAAACTTCTAATGACTAAAACTGGATAGTTATTACATAAAGCAAATGCTTTGACTTAATATGAATCAGAAATCTCGGGTTAAATATAAGGTATCAGTGTGCCAGAACTCACTGTAGGGTATGGCCATTTGGAATGTGATTGCCACCAAGCCTTTAGAACGGAGGTGGTGTCACCAGGAAGTTTTCCTGCTCTTCTCTTGCGCAAAATTTCCTCCCTTATGTCCACAATTTTCTCCTTGTAACCCTGTAAGCAAGAGATTAGAAATTAATAACATGGGAGATCCAGGAGAACTTCACAATGATATTTTTACTCCTTACCTGTTTCAGTTCATGTTTCAGCTCCTGCCTCACACGCTCCATCAAGGACCTCTCACTCTCTGTTGGGATGAGAGGACCGAATCCCATAGTGTCTGCACCCTCCAAACTTCCATCAAACAAGTTGGTATCACTATCAACTTGGTCTTCGTCATCGTCAGACATTGTTGCGCCTGTACCTTCACCTGGTGAAACTCCTGTTCATGCAGCATGCAAGGACATTGTAGATTCAGAATAGGGTTATAAATATTTCACAATGATAATCATTTACTTAATGTGCATATGAATATGCTTCTAACTAAAGTCATGAATCTCACAAGTAAAAGTATGCTAAAGACGTAGAGATTAAGAAAAGTTAAGTTAAAACTGCATTTAGGTTGGTCCTCGAAGAGATTTAGCACTTAAATCCTCCAAAATTAGCATGACTTTTCAATAGCCAATTAGTTAATAGTTTCCCACAATGTCAATAATTTGAAAAACCACATATATACTGTAAAAAAAATCCTCATCTTACCACATGTAAAGGAAATTATTGATATAAACCGAATTTTGATTTATTTTAAATTACCAAATTTCAAAGAACATAGAAGAAGTAAGAAGTGCTCCCAAAAATGTCCGGGTAGAAAAAGTTATCATCTCCTTAGAACAATATACCTATCAGGAGAGCGCATGCAACGTTTGCTGGAAACTAGAAAATTCAAATTAAATTACTAAATAACAAAGCATTACCTGTTAAGCTTTGAAGGGATTGCTCAATCTCCCAGCAAGCCATTACTGCTTCCATTGCATGTACCCGAACATGTTGTTGCAGTTGTTCTTTAAATGAACAGAGCAGTAGAACGTAATGTGTCTACAATGTCAAGAAAGGAAACATTAAAATTTTTACTCCATCATAGAAACAATATCATATTGAAAATGATATTCAGGTCTCTCCATCAATTCTAAAATAGCATTAAACCCTGCAAATTATAGAAGACACTGGAAATTGTGTGAAACATATAGAGTTGGAACCCATGCAGTCCAAAGCTATATGCTTTTCCATTGTTGCAAGGTTGGATATCATTGAGGATTATCATCATATTGGTTGGAGGTGATTTCCAACAATAATAAGTCAATAAGATCCTATATATATTGGCCATATCTTTCTCAAGAACATTGACTCATATAACCATGAATGAAAGCTGATCCTTTCAATTTTATAACAAAATCAGCAGAAGAAGTAAGTATCAAAACCGAAAAAGATGAAGCTAAAAGACACTGCCCAATAAGGAAGAGAATGCAGAGTTCAGTTTCATGCTCAATATTATGTACCAGAAATGTTCAACCAAATTTATGACAAATTAAACCAACTCCATTCAAATAATACGTAAAATAAACTATACAAAATGGATAAGCTAGCAATTTTTTTTCTCACTTTTTTTCAAGCATTTATGTCATATTTTTAACCATTTTAAGTTGGCCATTAATGAAAAAGTATGACCTGAACACATATTATTCCAGCATAGTTCGTAGTTGTAATTGGGTAGAACAGACCAATTCAGCAGAAAAATATAAATATCAATTTCAGTTTACCAAGCTCTTTTTCGATATTGTTTAAAGATGACTCCATTTTTATCTGATTGTACCTTTCTGTATATCTGCCTGTGTTATCTGCTTTTGTTCATTTCCATGTATTGTTGCTTATCTTTATGATGATAAAGGCAAGGCAACAATATATAGAAATCGTATAAAGCTCAAGGACAGGTGGTGATATTATGCTTAGAAATCGTGGAATGACTTTCCAGCATCAGAGTCAATCATTCCCCCATACATCTAACCTTATGACCTTCTGCAATCAATTGACACAGTTTATACAGTCTTGCCCCCTCACTTAAGCATTTCTAACCCAGAAAATTCACTTATATTCTAAAGACGCTATCAATTCTCATACTTTTGAGAACTTGACTTGATCTAAGAAGATTAATGGTTCTATTCTTAATCCAAGAGGAAAAAACAGTGATCTCCAATATGAAAACTGCAAGTTATTGACTTTGTTTCCGTTTGAACTCAATATGTTCATTATGAATAGTTGTAATTCCTCTGTTCGATTTCTTGCTTGCCAACTATTTATTATCCAGCTTGCAAAGCAGTTGGCATCTAAAGCTGTCACGGAATCAACACTCCAAGAAACAAGGCCAATATCAAGTATGCTTTACAAATTTATTGAACTTTCTATCAATATCTTTTCTTTTGCAATAAGAGGAAATGACCTTCGACTTGAAGTTCCAACAAATACAATTACAACTTCTCACGTCTCAGTAGCCTTCCTATATATATAAAGCCGAGAATCACACAGGCCAATCTAAATTTCCTTGTAAGCTCACAGAACCCCTACCAAATTTGGCTCAAATTTAATTTATGACCAAACATGTCCACTTTCTCATTGTTTCCCATAAGCTTATCATCAAGCAATCGTAATACCAAAAATTAACTATCATCAAACTTCCTCTTAATCAGCTAAAATAATCTGTTAGTAAATCACAACCATCCATTTACCAGGAAGATTTTAAAGTTTAAACCAAACAACAGAGTAGACAATTAAAAAAAAAAAAAAAAAAATTTGTACGCCTGGCCTTAAACTGCAACAATTACCAATACCAACACAATAAATTCAACTGCAGTTCAATAATTATCAATTTAAAATTCAAAACTTTTCAATAAGACAAAAAAATAAATAAATAAACGAAGTAGAAGAAGCGCATACCATGAACTGATCGAGTTCTTTATCATCAGGAACCATGGCCTGACCCGCGCCCAAGGCCGAGTACTTAGCCACGACATGCTGCGACTGGGCCAACTGAGCGTCAATCCTCGGCAGCTGATCCACCGGCGTGGCGATCCTCAAACACGCCACATGTGCCGACAGTAACTGGTCGTACAACGGATGCGTCAATATCTCCGCTTTGTACCTCGCATTTTGCCAGTTCATCACTCCGTCGCCGCTCTCAACAACCACTCCTTCGCTTTTATTATTATTGTTCATGTTTTCGCTGTTGCTGTTTTTCAAATCGACGGATTCAACGGCCGCGATGATTGAGTCGTTGGTTGGGTTGACGTCGTCGACTACGTCACTGTGGTTACGGTGTAGGAGCGAGGATGACGTGCGCGAAAGCCATTGGTTTGGAGTGTGAGAAGCGTCAGAATCCGAAGCCGTGTTGTTGTTGTTGTTGGCAGTTGTACGGAGGTTGAGAAAGTTTGTGTCCGTGAAGTGTGGTTGTGGTGGAGGTTGTGGTTGTTGTTGTGTACGGAGGAGTGCTGAGTTGAGCCAATTAGGAGCTGTTGTTTCCGAGATGCTTTGTTGTTGCTGCTGTTGTTGCGGTTGTTGGTGTTGGTCGGTGAAGTGGTGAAGCGGAAGGTCTTGAGAGAGGTGGTTGTGATGAAACGCCATGTTGTGTCTATAAATATATGTATATATTTCTATGTATCTTTTCTAATCTGCTGACTATGTATTTGTGTATTACAAAAGACGCTGATTACGAGTTCATGGAGGGAAGAAAGAATTGTGTAACAAAGAAAGGCAGAAGAAGAGATGGATGGAGGGAGTTGGTTTGGTTTACAGTTGATATATAAAAAGAAATAAAAATTGTTGGGATGGTTTAGAGAGAAAAAGAAGAAAGAGGATGATTACGGGTTTCCATAAACGTAAACTGGAGAGAGAAATGTAGAGGGAGCTTTTTTTAGCAGAAGAAAAAGTACTAACTATCCAAGACCAGCTTCAGGCTAAAAAGATTAACCATACCAACAATCATTAACAACAATAATTATTATTTAATTGATATTAATACATTATTCTATTTAATTTATTTGCGTGGACCTTGGTTTCAGACAAGGTTGATTTAGTGTGATCCGACGGTTTAGGATTTTCGTAGTTGCTAAGACTGTTTGTTTTAAGTCTTGGGATGTTATTTTAGGTAACCAAAAGGCGCGTGTGGAACACTCCGGTTTCCATCGGACTAAGCGTTCAGCGTATGTTATATTTGTAGGTTTAGGTGAGTGACAAACATTGTCCAGGTTACCGTACAACCTAAGCAGCAGTTATCTCAAACTGTGATAACAGTTGAATATGTGCGCGTGGAATAGACCAAAATAATAATTGTAATCACAATTGCAAGCATGCCGCAAGATAAAACCTACCCCAATATATTATTTTTCCAAATGTTGACTCAATTTCTTATAAATAAAATGAGGATTTTAAAATTATTATAATTTTAATAAAAAATGTTTTAAAATCATTTTCACAAACTTTAGAAATTTGACTCCAAAACAAAACATTTTTTCTGCCTACTTGAAACTGAAAGACGGTATGGTTGCAGGCTTGATCATATTTTAGGGAAAAGCGGTTTCAGTACACGTGTCATTTACACGAGTAGAAAGCAACACCCTTTGTAGAACTAGTACCATGCACCTTATATGTGAAGTACTTGCAGCGACAAAAGTACAGAATAGTATCCTCAAAGCTTGGGGCGTGCTTTCCACGTCACTTAACGTAGCGTGACAATTTAGCAGTTAAAATACTCCAACACTAATACAATGACTCGATTGAGCTATCTTGTATGGGAAAATTAAGAAAATAAACAAACAATACCGCTAACCGGTTATCGCCGGTGAGTATGGTAATAAATAAAGCGGGAAAAAAAAATAAAACACACACAAAAGAGAAGGGGACCATAAATTACGTCGCTTCTCTCTCCGCCACTCGCGGGACAACGACATCGTGACACGCGGCGAAACCTAGTTACTTGGACCACAGAGTGGACCACAGAGCTAAGCACGCGCTAAGGATAAGAGTATCGCAGCCGTACACGTGGATATCTAGATAAAGGGACCCACTGGGAATTTTGACTTCTCTGACAGCCGCCGGCTAAATCAATGCAAACTGTAGCTGGTCCCCTAGGAAAGGTGGGGGCCCAGGGTGTGAGAAAGGGGGAAAAAAATTGGTGCGGCCCCACCTCCCAAACTGAGGGGGCCCCAGTTGAGAGAGAGACTACTGTTTTTGTGTTTATGGCAAACTGTCCACAAATAGAGCCAATCCTCCCCCAATGGTCCCCTACCTACTGGCTTTGCCTTCTCTCCCTTTCCATCTTTATAAATAATTAATCCGTCAGGCAAACGGCAGAACCTAACGGGGCTTACGAAATTTCAGAAGAAACGTCCGATCCCAAAAATTGTCATCTAGCGGTCCATCTTTCACCCTGATAAGTGTACATATCCATTGACTACTCCGATTGAATCCTATGTTAATATTAGTATTATTTTTCAATTATTAATTAATTAATAAATTAAAAAGTAGTTCATCCAAGTTGAACCATATTTAATTCTATGCAAAAAACTAATCACATTAAATTCTTTTTTTCTCCAGTTTTGGTCAAGGATTAGTACAGTTAAGATGTTGATTACATTAATCATGTTGAGGCACCATCACGCAAAGGACACAACACATAGTCGAATATTTCAAATGGAAGACAGTATCCGTATTCCGTTGTTCAAGGCATAAAGAGACTTCTTGTGTTGCTGCACTAATGTCAGGGCGACCTAATGTTTAGAGTTAGACAACGACAATGTGAAGAGGAACATGAAATTATCCTAGGAAATGTCATTATCATTATCAAAAACTTAACCCCTATATATAAAACTTTTAATTATTTCCTAACTAATTAAAGCATGGATTTTATTTTGATTATTTTCGTAAGCTGAAACGTACCAAAAAGAGTAGGGAATGGAGTTCATTGATCTGTCAAGCTCTAATAGTCTTTGCCGTGCGTTTTTCTCAATTTCCATGTCAACTTTTTTGTTGTCTTGGACAGAACCAGGAGGATCAGTACTACCACACACCACAAATAAAAAGTTTGTTTTCTTAACCAAAGAGAAAAAGAATGCCAATCACGTGCCCACACCCACACCCACACCCACACCCAGATCCAGACAGGACGTGAACCAATTATACATGAAAAAGCTTCAGCCTGCTCTTTGCCATGCATTATTGTTATATGTTTTGAGTCTTGAATCTTCAACCAGAATACAAAAGTAGCTGACTACTCTTCTAGGATCTCTCGCAATTAAGGGACCAATAATAATAATAATAATAATAATAATATATTATTATTTAAAGCTTTCTCGTAGTCCTATGCAATTCTTTTGGTTCATTAATGACAAAATTTCTGAAATTATAATGTTTCTTAAAGGAAAATGTGACCATCAAATGATTAAAACGTGTCTTCATCCGTGGCTTTCTTAAACTGTGTTTAATCATAATTATTTAATTAAATATTCTAACCTCTAGTCTCCACGCGATTTCAACGAGAGTGAGGCATTATCTCACATAAAAATATCGGAACAGTGGATGAATGGTTAAGTCTCCGACACTTGTCCAATTCCAAACCGAAAAAAAAAATAAAAACCAAGTGAAGTGAGATGTATCTACGTGTAATACGCGCAGCTGTCAAACAAAAAGACAAAAAACTTGCCATTAAGTCCTTCGGGTTTTTTAGGAGGACGGTCGAGTGGGACCCACACGGTTTTACACGAAGCAGCAAGAAGAATTGCAACGGTGTCGGGAGGGGTAACTTTGGTATTAACCTAATAATGAAAGAATTAAGAGTTGATTAATGAAATATTATTATAATAATAAGAATTAAGGGAGTGGCAGGTCGAGGTTCGTGGGGAGAGAAGGAAAGGACCCAGTCCCACTAATAAATAATATTTTTTATATATCTATAGTTATAGTCATCGGAGAGAAGGAAAGGTTTTGTCTTTGTCTTTGTCTGTCTTTAGGTACAAAGGATAATATATATATATTTATAAAAAATAAATTTTCACATTTAGGGGTTGAGTGATCTTACTTCATAAAAGTTGTTCTCCTTTGAAGAAGCATTCACTCATGGATTCATCTTTTACTTTTCAGCACAAGACAATGTGCTGTGCCAACATGAACATACATATATTATGTTTTCTGTCAGCCAAATTCAGATCTTACCCAGAAACCCAACAGAAGATAATAGACAGAATACATATAATGAGTATAATCATTTAACATTTATTAATAGTAGCATAATGTTTATAAATTTAGACTATCCCAATCAATTTCATAAACAAGGTTATCTTCCAACAGATGTTTGCATAAAGTCCCCACATAGGCTGAGTCACTGTCAGAAATTTGCTATAGCCTTGGCACCAAAGGGGACATTTAGATGAACAGATAGAACCCAGATGAAACTATTCTCATGTATTATTTGTCTTCTGTTAGTAGCTTCTATTTCTTATAATAATAGACTTCCAATTCCAACTGGTTTGGTTTGGTTAGGTTAGGTTAGGTTAGGTTTGTTGTTTTGTTGAAAATTATAAAATTTAAAAACGTTTTTATTTGATGATATTTATGTAATAAAGAAAACGTTTTTTCACCTGAAGATTGTATTAAAATAAAATCCGTCACAGCACATTTTAAACCTTGAATAAGAGCAAAGTTTGAATATGAAATGACAGACTATTCTCATTCTCTGTATCTATTAACTAAAGAGTCTGACTGTTGTTTTAGATAGTATGTCTAGAAGAGAGAAGAAGAGTCAAAGTAGACTTGTCATGTGTAAAACTCCAAAGCTGACGATAGACTTTCGCTTTAACCTCATAACCTGACAGGCTGACCCTTGAACTGAACTATAAGTTTAAAGGTACCGTACCCCGGACTATTTTGGTCCGTTTTATGAAAATGACTATTTAATTTGACCACTTCTTATCTGTTTGTCATCATTAGTTATTGAAAAAATGTTAATGTTGTAGAAATAAAATAACAGTTTTAATTCAATCAATTGGAGATGGGAGATGGGAGATGGATGTGACCCACAAGGATGGATGTGATTCTCCTTATCCAATAATGATGAAACGTTTATGTAACTTATTGAAGACCTTTATTTTGTACTGGTTCGATGCATATTGCTTTTCAAAGGCGCACTTATCGCAGGGTTAAATTCATCCTGCCAAAACCCAAAAAATGGTATCAATTTGTGGCAAGCAATCATAGAGGGAATTTGGTTAAAAGTGGTTCCACAAAATGCTTCAATATGTTATCGATAGGATATGCACTAGTTTTTGTTGATTTGATTATATATATCGCCGTCTTATAGATACTTTCGTGAGTTTGTATCAATTTGACTCGATGGATTGACAGGATTTCGTAGACAAATATATAAATGATATGATATGATATGATTTAAACCCACGTGTCAATTAGGGTTTCCCTAAAACTAAAACTCTTGATTGTGTCGGTTTGCATCATCCTCAAACCCTAGAAGAACTAGGCTTTCAAATTTGAGGACCACAAAAGCACTTATAGGAAAACTCTCTGTCATGGACCACTTAGCCACTAACAACTTGCGATTTCAACAAAGAAAATAAAGAAAGCAAGAAAACCCATTTCGTGAATAAGTGAAATCATGGTGGCTCCATACACATTTATTTGTATATGAAAGGGAAATTTTGAAATTTGTGTGAGCTTTTGAATTGAGTGAGTAACGTGAAGCCGTGCCTGTGCCTGTGCCTGTGCCTGCCGAGAATAGTTAAACACCAAGCACAAAAGTGATGTAGATGATATGATATATGAGGGAAAAAGGCATCAAAAAGACAAAGATATTGAACATGGTTTGTGCTATTATTTGATTTGATGTGATGTCATCCCATTTGCTGAATTGAGAAAACTCGGAACTCGTACAGAAAGAGAGCAATTTCACTGATCAATGATGTTGATTATACACATACTTTGAGAGAGTGAGAGAGAGATTTTTTAATTTTACCATCATCAAGACTAGGGAGTTACTGCAAATTTGTGGACGTTTTTGTGAAAGGTGAAGGGATATTGACAAAACTAAGCAGTAGGCAACAAGTTGGGGGATTACCTAACTGGTGAAGGAATATGAAGGTAGTGAGATTGATTATAAGATTGGATATTTTTTCAACCAATAACTGTTGACTAAAATCCAAAGTGTTGCAAGCAAAAATGAATATATGATTGTGAAAGGACAAAAAACATGTTTTAAACAAATAATATTGTGTTGAGATTGAGAATGAGATGCTTCTGGGTTGGGGCTCTGCTTCAAAATGACGACACTTCGACACAACAAAACCTGTTTAGATGGGTCATGGGTCATTATTTTTTATATTTTCAAGTTTGATTGCAGATTGTATTCCATTAAAAACTTATTCAGATTATATAAAGAAAACCCCTTTTCAAAAACATGCAATATTTTGATGGGTAAATAAGATTCAGAAATTTATGAACTCAAATGGTATTGTCTTTTTGATAAATCAAAATGAAAAAATAGGGCTACTCAAGCCACTGAGCTGTCATTGAAATTGATGGTGACTCATAGGAAAACCGTATTGAAAGTACACTAATTAGATTTATAAACATGTTGATTTAGTAACATCGAAAAAATTTGGGTGTTTGTGCAGAGATAAAAGGTGACCACTCATTTCGTTTCAAACCCTCTAGGAGTCGTACAAAATGCCTATCCCTCAATCTCAATATTCAGTCCTCAGACTTCAACCCATGAACGCCATCTAATTCCAAATTTCTGAGGCCTCTGAAAAAACAAACGAGTTAAAATAATCTCCAAATGGTAAGCTTCAAAGATTTTTACCAAGTTCAAAAGGCTTTGTCGTTTTGCCCACAAAACTGTCAAAAAGAATCAGTAGAAAAGGACGTGATTGAAAATATTAGTACACGGTTGGGAGAAAATTAGTAGAGCAGGGAGGTAGCCCAGTTCTTCGCCCAATGGGCTACCAATTGATATTTAGTTTGAAGACTGCAGTTCCTACTCAAAAGATGAGATTAAATTTCTTAGCATTTCACTCTTGAATTATAATTTGATGCAATTAGGTGCAGTTGCTAATTTTTACTTTGGTTAAGACGTTAAAAACCATGACTCATTTCGTCAAGACGGCCGAGCTACAAGGTGTTGAAGGCAATAAGAAACAAGACAACTAAGTAAAAAGAAGCTTGTTTCACGCTGCAAGCCTGCAATACAAAAATATCACAAACATCCTAGAAGAGAAAGTAACTAGAACGTTCAACAATGCTTTGACATGCATTTGACTAGACCCTTCGAGCAGCATTTCTCATAATCCAATATGATATGAAGACTAAAAATGTGTAATTGAGACGCCGCCACAAAAAATGCTGGCATCTTTGTTCACTCTTGAGTTTGCACGTCTCATAATCCAATATGTTATGAACATACAAATAAACTGTCACACAGTACCAGTAACTCGCACATGAAATGGGGGTCCACGACAGAAAATTGGTTCGTCAGGTGAATCGGTCTTTGCTCGAGCTCGAAGGATGTTATTAGCATCATCAATTACGGCAGCAGCCACAAGAGTGTACTCACCTGGGACAAGGAAGTACAAAGAGAAACAATGCCTTGATTCTTGAAGCGGGAGAACCTCCATGGTAATTTCATTTAGGACACCTGAAAGTATCAATAAAATTCTCAACCATATATGTAAATTTGCAACCCAAGGTTTTCATCTTGCTTACCAAAAACAGCTTTAGAATCATCACTAAGAAGTTGATCTTTTTAGGATATTTAATAAAAACACTGATGGATGATATCATAAGAGAAACTTACCCGACCATAGGACAGTCCCCTTAGAGCCCTCAACGCAGTTCTCACCAGCTACATCTCTGCATGTAATACTAAGACTCATCTTGATAATTTCCCTAGTGTTATTACGAACTAGAACTTCCATAGGAGTCATGTCATTTGCTATCACAGAATCTTTAGGTAAACCAAGTTTTTTAGCCTGCTCAGAATCCTTTCTAACAAGCCTGAAGCCAAATGTCAAAGGATCTGGCAGCAGTACATCCATAACAGATGTCTGAAGGGCTGCCTGTATAGCATCCTTGATATTCAATTCTCCAGAGCTGTTGCGTCCAGATTGCCATCTGACCTTTATTCTCGAAATGAGGTTCTTAATGGAAGCATTTAGCTCAGCCTTAGTATTCTTTTCTGAGAAGCTGGAATTTCTGCTCCCGATAGAACCATCTGACTTTAAGTCCTTCACAAAAAAGGAACCATCAAGAATAGGCAACTTAAAATGCTCCAGCGGAATTAATACCCTTGCAGTGTAATCCCTGTCAATTCTTGTCTTAGGATAACCATATTCGGTAGCATCTTGATCACTCGAAAGGCCATCCTCGTTGTTTGAATTTTCCAGCTGGACAGAAACACTAATTTCAAACACAACATCAGTCGGATTGGACAACTCAAGTTCAAGGAAACGTAGCCCCCAACTTCCTCTAAAAGGATCAATCTTCATCAATTTGTCCATCTTATTTTCAGAACCAACGGTTCCCTCAGTAGAAGTAGAATCCACATAAACAGGCATAGGAAGGTTTTCACCAACATGTGCAGGAATCTCCATTGAAAGCAAACGAGCTTTTACAAAAGATAAACCTTGCAAAACACTGATTTGCAAGGGAACAACCAGGCGTCTACCAGGGGGCACAACAGACTGATCTCCAGAATTCGTAAGTGGCCCTGAGAAACAAAATGAAAGGTGTGACTAGGGGTGGGCAAAATTTTAGGGTAGAACTGGAACCGACGGGTACCTGGGTGTTGGTTCCGGTTTCTACCCGGAACCGGCCGTAATAGGGTAGGTTCCGGTTCCAAAAAATTGGAACCAATATTGTGCAGTTCAGGTTTCGGTTCCAAATCAAAGGAACCGGAATTGGAAACCGGGGCTAAATTGATATAATATTAAAGAATATGGTTTTTTTTTTTTATATTTTGCATATGGGGTTTTTTTTTTTTATATTTTGCATATCATATGAATATATAAGAAAATTTTGGTTTTTTTATCTTAGTATCAAAAGTCTTATTAATTTTCATTAACAGATCAGTTTTTCAAAATATTCTTATTAATATTTAAGTTTCACTTATTACTTGATTAAGAAATTAATATATATTAAGACATTTAAATTAAATAATAGCTTTTAAATGTTTATTATAGGTGAAAACAAACAATTAAATACTTATAATCTAGCATCAAACATCAAGTAAATTTAAACAAATATATTTAATGTTTTGCACATAATTGTTAGGGGTGTAATTGTAATTTTAGAAGGGTTTATTTGTCATTTTTTTTAAAATAGGGGGTAATTGACAATTTCCAGGGTACCCGGAACCGGAACCGGTAACACAGGTTCCGGTTCCAGTTCCAAATCAAAGGAACTGGCCGGTTCCAGTTTCGGTTCCTTTGATTTTGGGTGGGAACCTGGACCCGCCCACCCCTAGGTGTGACCACTAGAGTTTCTTCTTTATATTGAGAATAAATATTTGAGACTATGAATATAGTTTTAAAGAGAGAGAGAGAGAAAGAGAGCAATAAATGCCATTAATAGAAAATACCTGAGTAATGAATCAACAAAGAAGGGCTGCTTCCATCCTTTAAATGCCTCCCTGTGCTTCCAGAGGCACTCTTGCCAGCAGCAGTTTCATGGTCAATCAACCCAAGCTGCCAGGCTTTTAATGTCACAGGTACAGTCACTTCAGCTCCAGGCTTCAAAGGAAGAGCAGATTTTAAGGCCTNAGAGAGCAATAAATGCCATTAATAGAAAATACCTGAGTAATGAATCAACAAAGAAGGGCTGCTTCCATCCTTTAAATGCCTCCCTGTGCTTCCAGAGGCACTCTTGCCAGCAGCAGTTTCATGGTCAAACAACCCAAGCTGCCAGGCTTTTAATGTCACAGGTACAGTCACTTCAGCTCCAGGCTTCAAAGGAAGAGCAGATTTTAAGGCCTCATATGCAATTGAGATAACAGAATCTTGGTTTTTTCCTGATAGTGAAATATGTGCTTGCTCAACTGGAACTGTACCTGCATTAGCCAGACTTATCCATACATCGCGAATTTCACCTTCGTACAAAATGATGGCCCCATCACCACCAACAACATGTGACACTAGCAGTGGCAGAGGTGATACCACAGATATATTTGGATTAGATACGTTTTTCAACTTGGCAGATCCACAGCATCGGAAAGGGTCAGAAAGAACAAGTCCTTGTGCGGCTCCTAAAAGCAGATTATCTACATCCCTAAATAGGTGTTCGGTTATCACACCAAAACAGTGAACTCTGCATCCTGGAATTCTCACAACCCCCACTGAAGTTGGTATTCCAGATAAAGTGATCACTTTAGATGAATTAGGTGGGAGATCTACACTAATTGGAAAAGCATCAAAATTTTCTGAATGCGCCGAGAGATATATACTATCAACCCTTAAATCAAATCCACAAGGATTTGCCAACTCCACCAAGACCTGGACTGGTTCTCCAACAACCCAAATCAACTCCTGCTTACCGGTATCATTTGGGTCTCCTTTACTGAATGGTGTATATATAAAAGGCCCTGAAGGAGCAGAGCCTGCCCACCAGTCGTCTCTACCTGTATTCCGTTTAATGATGTCCATTTGTGAAGGATGCATGGGAAAAGAGTACAACCTGGAACAATAAATAACTCAGTACGTTTTCTGAAAATTTAAGTGAAGAGGGTTATAAAACCAAGACACTTTTTTCTATGTTGACAATACTAGGTGAATACAGGACTCATAACTGCAGAAAACATCAAGGATAGAAAGGAAAACTATTTATTTACTCTCCCAAGTAAATATGATGCTTAGAAACCAGGAAATTAGATTTTCTTAAAAATTCAGGAAAAAAAAAATAGCTGGTTTCACCAAAAATAAATTAAAAGTGTGAGAGAACAATGACTGCCACAACAAAATTCTCCTCCTACCCCAACTTCAGAGAAGAAGATTTTAGTATATCGGAATATACCTTACAAAAGGTAAGGCTGGATCAGCACATCGAGTTCCTGAAGGCAACCTCTCTGCTGAGTTTGTAAGTGCACTAGCAAGGCCATTTTGTCCAACAGGTGTAATTAGAGGATAATAAGATCTGAGAAGCCTAGCTGCTGCACTCCATGCAGCAAGAGGATCTGCTGCACGAACAGCAGAGAGCAGTATCTCCCTTAACACAACCATCTGCAAGGTGCTCCACTGAGACTCAAATAGAGAGACTACTGATTGATGATGCATTTTTCCGCCATCAGCATGACTTGATCCAGTTTCCTTTAGGGAAAAAAAAAAAAAAAAAAAGGTTGTGACAAATTGGTTATGTTTCTGAGAAAAACTTTACACTTCAAATAATAAAGTTATTCAAAACAGACAAACTTTTGATTGTCATTCTTGAACCTAATTCAATATACAAACTCCAATCATGATATTACTAAAAATTATACATATGTTTACATCAAATAGCATGCTAGCAATGCTGTTGTACAGCAAGATCAATAAACAAATTGACAGCATTTTATTATTCTATTTACAATTTCTTGACTCTTCTTATTTTTACTCACAATTATATACTTACGGTAGACAGAGAATGCTTTGAGATGGATGCTCGACTCTGAACACGATATGCCTTAGTGGTCATTGCCAGAACTTGCAAAGCACAAATAGCAGCCGATCTACTTTCTTGTTGCAAATACAACTGAGCTACCTGCCTTGAGAAAAAGGCAGCTTTTCGTTGATAACCCAGAGTTCCAAATAAACGAGCTATCTCAACATATAAGATGAGTCTGTCACTGGCATCTATCAACGACTTCGCACCATCTGCAGCACTCGTTAACAACTCCACTACATCCTTAGCCAGCTCTCTCCTATAAAAACCAAATAATAGTGCAAAGTTATTTTGGCAACACAACTAAAAAGGGTGGTGGAAAACAATAATATTAATACCTGCAAAGAAATCTTGCCAATTTCAAAGTAGCCTCAAGTTCAAAACTTAGCGGTGAGACTCTGCATTCCAAAACAATAGAGTTATTTATTGTCAAGAGACTCCAAAGAAGAAAAGTTGATACAAAAGGGCATCTCATGTTAAGATTCATAAAGTGAATTAAAATAAAATAAAATAAGCTTGAATGGACATCATTTGAGCAAAACTATACAATCAAGGCCTTGTTTACTTCCCTAACCTGACAAGCATATCAACAGCTAAAATACCATAAAACAGAAAAAGTGGATACTTTCAAATGTCTGGCATAAAATAAGAAGAAAATGGATACATTAGAGCATCTCACATTAAGATTCAGAAAAGTAAAATAAAATAAAGCTTGAATCTATATCATCTGAGTAAAATTATACATGAGATCAAGGCCTCGTTTACTTCCCTAATCTGACAAGCATATCAAACAATTGTTCCAGAGAAAAATCTAAAACAGAAACAAATGAATACTTTAAAATGTCTAGCAAAATATTACAGAAATAGTAATTATAGTACAACAGATGCTAAGAAGCAACATGCTCCAAATGGACTGGTGGCTCACATTAGACTATACAAATTCCCAATACCATTCCATAAAACAACAGAAGGATGCACTTCCTTACGAAAGAAGAGCCATCAGAAAAATGACTAGTCACCCATTACCTCTGAGCATTGTCTTGTATAAATGATTTCCTGTAATGCAAGATGACACTGTTGTACCGGTATTTAACCTCTTCCTCCAGAACTGGGTCCTTCTGGCCCATTCGGTCCACCTAATGAACATGAAAATAAACAAATAAATAGACACAGATATGCACAAAAGACCAAAGGGAGACACAATCACGCAGTCAGCAAATAAAAATGATGTAATAGGCAATTCAAGTAAAATCGTAACCCAGACAGCAATGTTAGTCACTTCTTTATAATATTCTAAACAGTGATCAATTACAAGACCAACAAAATGATGCAGAGTAAGATAATGGTACTGCCACTTAACTAGACAATGATGGATGTCATATTGATAAAATTTCCATATCACTTAATATAAATATCAGCTTTGTCATTCGGTATGCATGTGAAGGGAAATAATAAACTTTGGTACATGAGATAAACCAATAACTACAATGACTTAATAATACTGCAGGCATTATTAATGCACTTGTTTATTCACCATTCATCATGCATATGCACCCATATTCCATTATGCACCCCAACAGGTGTTAAACCATAACGGATAGAAATATTAAGAGTTATGTCAAATAGAAAAGCATCCAACATATAATACATCCCATACAATCTTATTTGAAAAAGAGAACACACCAGTAAGGCACAGACGCTTCCTTCCAATGCCCCGGCATACCAGAAGAAGTCAGCGGTCAACCTAGCTAGTTCCAGTGCAGTTGAATAATGAGCATTAGCATCAACAGGTGATCCAGCCAACAAACAGTAATCCCCTATAGTTTTCTGTGCACGGGCAAGTCTTCGCTTTTTGGCCTTTATCACCTACAATTTTCATCAAATCAAACTGATTTAAGTTGCAAAATTCAGGAAAAATGTTAAAATCCGTATTAGCTTAATTAAAAAAAATACAGATTCAAATTCTTAGGACACCTAAACATAAACCTCCTCTGAGCTGAGACTGGCTTGAGAATCTAATGGTGTCTTCAATATAGTTCCAGCAGATTCCGCCTGAAGAACCCACTTCTCAAATTCCATCAACAACGAAGCCCCAATATCTTGCATCATCGTCTGCAAGTGAAACTCCTGCGTTTGACGGTCAGCCGGAGGAAACAAAAGCAAATTTTCACCCTTCTTTGCACCATTCTCTAGCTGCCACATTAAGCAAACCAATCACTTAACCCGTGAATAACAAACCAATTAAAACAATACAAACTCTTCTTCCTCTACCTTAAGTTGCTGTTCATTCACTTCTCATTTCCATAATTCTTCAACTAACTAAATAAACAACAAAAAGAGATTACCAAAAGTAAAAAATAAAGCACTCACGTGAGAGTCACTTGGAGAGAACGCAAAGCAGCGTTTAACAAGAGCGGAGCTATAACCCTTACAAGCGGAATTGAACTGCTCGATAACAGAATCGAGATCAGGCGAGGAAGGGCAGTGGCAAATGCCAATAACGGCGAGGATCTTACGATTTGACTGGAAATCTTCCCAGGGACTCGGTGGGGCCCCGCCGAGTACGAACTTGAAGCGGAGCGAACCGGAGTCCCAGGGCTGCTGAGCAAACGGAGATTTTTGATGCTCTGTGTAGAACGAGCTGATGGCGGAGAGCGGGATCGTGTGATGCCGGAGTAGCATTGAATGGTAGTCCCGTAATAGAGTTGGTGGGACCGTGCCGATTGGGAGAACCGCGATCCGGATCATGGATGACGTCTCGATGCTCACGTCTGGCTCCATATTTGAAATCAAACAGTGAGGGAGAAAGGCGCAGGGAAATCAGTATGAGATTGAATGTATCAGATTAAAGACATTCGGATCAATGATAGAGAGAAGCAGATAGTTAAGTGCAAGAATAAGCAATGGATTCGTACTGTTTGTGTTTGGTGACGTTGAAGAATAGGAATGAGGAAAAATACCCTGTTTGGTTGTAGGTTGGTCTATGCTGTGATGTGAAACGAGGATATCCTTATACTGGCTTAGGTAAGCCTTACACACTCCCAATCCTATTTTTCAAACGTTGTTTGGCACATTATTCCCAAAATATTAGTCTATTTTTTAATTACGTTGAGACCTTATAAGTTTATTAATTTTATTAAATACCCCCTAGAAAAAAGTTTAAAAACTAACAAAAACACCCCCGTTTACCAATACTGCCAGATTCCGGCAACCACCAGTGGTGGTAGCCGGAATCTATCACAATAGTCACACAGCCACCGAAAATAGTCGGTAATGGTCAGATCTGGCCTTTTCTGGCCAAATCTGCCATTAACGACGGCCATATCTTTGGCCGTCGCTAACGACCAAAGATGCCCGTCGTTTTAGCCTTTTCTGGCCGTCGTAGCCACAGCAGTTCATAGATCTGGACTTTTCCAGCCAGATCCGTGATAGATCTGATCGAAAAAGGCTATAACGATGCGTTACGGCACAAATCCGACCAGTCTGTGTCATAACGAAATTTTTCAGCCAGATTCCGGCAATAGTGGCCGGAATCTAGCACTGTAGGTGGTGGAGGTGTTTTTATCATTTTATATATTAGGGTCTTTAATTAAATTAGTAAATCTAAGAGTTTTTTTATAAATTTTTAAAGTTTACCTCGTAATACTCCCTTATCCAATAACCCAATACTATCTCTAAAATCTTATCCAAAATAATAAATCAAAGCCAACCTATATTTTCACTAATAAACTATTTTTAAACTATCTTGATAATAGGATTTACTCAATCACCAAACAGTGGGCAGGTGACATCATACTCATTCCAGAGAGCTAAAGACTAGAACAACCAAGTGAGGTACTAGTGTAGAGAAATCGAGAAATTTTAAAATTACAGTTGCAGCGCCACCATGTTAGCTCCACAGATCGATCCTCACGATTTCTGCTCCGATCAGCCTCTCGTGCTTCGTCTCCAAGACATTTTAACTTCAATCTCCAAAGTAAGCACTTACTTCTCCCTCTGTATTTTTTATTTATTTATCTGCTGCTATAATTTTGTTCCTCTCCAACGATCTCTTTTTCCTTTCTTGTAGGAAATTGAATGTGGAAACATTGGCCAATCTGAAATCTTAGTTTCGGAACTTGTCAAGTTCCTTGATTCGATCGAATCAGACCACAGCAATGATGACATTAAGAACAATGCATATGAAGTCCTCTCGGAGATATATAAATTCTTGTCTTCTTCTTCATTGGACCAGGTTTCAAAATATTATTTTCTTCTTACTGTAATGAATAAATGTTTTACTTTGTTGTAAGCTTGTGAATTTTGTTGCAATGGCAGGCGGTTATTGATGCACTTTCATTTGAGTTGCCGAAGACTGTTACGAGATTTGCAGGCGTGTCCAGTAGCTGTTCGGAGATTGTTAATAGTGTTATTGATCGGTTTGTAGCAACATGTAGCCCACGGGACATGCTTTCAATTCTTTGTGAGGTAAGCTTTTTACATGGGAACAGTTATCATTATTTTTTGTAAATTAATCCTGCTCGTATTATTGTAAAGTAGAAAATAAAACTACTTTAACTACAACATCAGTATACTTTTGTTGGTTCTCATTATCATACATCTTAACTTACTATTTCTACTAATTATCTATTTCTTTGCTAATTTTGTTTGTTGATGGATTAGGCATTAGACTCATTGATTAAGACAACCAAGTTATCCGATAATTTTGTTCCTCTTCTGAGTGGTCTCTCAAAAGGTAATAATTCTTAAGATTATAGATTGAGTTCCCCTTGCTAATGGATAGATTAAATGTTTCTATTAATATTGTTGGATATTACTTAATTATTGATGACTACCGATTGTACTTTGTCCTGATGAATTCTCACTAGTAATGTCATGTTATTGCATCTCTGCACATCTTTAATGTAACCAAATGAAAGTTATGGCTTGAGTTTTTCTTTTTCGTTCTGTTTTGGTATAATGTTGATTGGATTTTTGCGTTTGATCAAAAGATGTGAAACTACATTTTCGCCTATTGAGCAAAGAGAAAGTTAAATGTTCTTTTCTGATTTTCAGTATTGCTTTTAACTCAGAGGCGGCACTTTGAACAAGTAAAAGTTGCAGTGCCTGTCATCCTAAAGGTTCTAATGAACGTGTCTTCAGAGTCTGATGATGAAAATACAGAACCTTTATTTGACAGGGCTATAGGCATTGCTGATTCTATCCATGCAGTTTGCGCTAAGCTGGTCTTCTAAGTTCTCGATAATTTGTTTACCTATTTTCTCAGAGTACAAAAAATATTGTCAGTGTGCTTTCTGTCAGATTGTTATAACCTTCTTTTTCTATATGTGACAGGATGGAGGAGCAAAAGAAAAGTTGTGTGCTCTTCTTGGTCTATATGTTCTGCAAATTATGGTTATCACTCTTCCCTTTTTGGAATTTAGTTGTTTTATCTATATTATTTCCCTCTGTGAATTGTATTTATAAGCATCATTCCCATTTAATTTGATTTGTGGGCTTTTCTTTTAAGCTGTTATTTTGACCTCATCTTTTTTAACTTTAAATTAAAATTTGTTTCTTGGGATACACTTACTATGTGCAGGTGCTTGTTTCAATAAGCATGGAATGTAAAGTCTCAAAATGCGTCCCTTTGATATCACAGTTGTCACACTTCTTCCCTTTTTGCCGTTTATCATATTTTGGTTTAATAACTGGGTGTGATGTGGATACTATGACTAACATGATTATTGGAGGTAAATTTTCGGAGGTTATCATAATTATACCCTATGTGGCTTCATAAATATACCAAGTTTGGAGAAAATTTAGTCCTCATTAACTGATATTTATATTTTTATCTCAATATGCCCAGAGGATGAAGATGACTATAAGAGTTGTATATCCTATGTGGAACAAGGTGCATCTCTTTCAGGTTTGTGTTTGCTTACTCAAGTTTCCTGATTCTGGTTATTAGTGTTTCCGGACATCGGTTCCCTCACTATTGACTACATGACCTTGGATTTGCATGAGCTCTCTGTTTACTTTATTGATGCAGTGATTTGGGGCCATGTTTCTGACCAAGTTGCTCAAGCTGCTGAGGAGGATTTGACCGCTGTCAAGAGTGAACTTAAAAGTAATCAAACAAAAAAATGGCAAGCTATTGGCATGCTAAAGCACATACTCTCTTCTGGCAATCTGCCATATGAATTCAAGGAGCATGCCATCAACTTCTTGCTTGACATAACTGATGAAAATATCTCCCAAGAGAATGACGGTGATCATAATGACTTCTCTTCTTATATGCCTAGTGTGTTTGCTGCTTTGCAGGTAGATCCTTTCATCTTGTGTTCTGTGCTTTTCTTCTTTGTCCATCCTTTCTGATTGTTAAAACGTAACATTTCAGGCTGTTGTAATGGTCATCATATATTCACCAAGTTCAGCACTTAGGAAGAAAACCTTTGATGCATTTAAGAGAGTAAGTTTTTTGGTGCTTAGAAGGTGAAAAAGCTTAATCATCCAATACTGATTTTGGCATTCTCATAAATATTTTTATTTCCTGGCCCTTGACTAGCTTATTAGATTTTGAAATTAAATCTTCTGTTACTTTATATCAATATTATGTTTTCTAGTATTATTTTAATGCTTACATCATTTTCCACAAAATTCAGGTTGTAGCTGAGATTCCACGTTCAGAGAAGCGTGACTTTTTAAAAGCCATGATTATTAATTGCAATTCTCCTTCTATGGTAAATCATTTCAAGATGGTTTACTTGATTTGCAAGCATTTATTTGTTCAATTTTGGAACATGATTCATCTGAACTAGTTGTTACATCTTCATATAGGTTGCAATTTTACTAGATCTTGTTAGACAGGAAGTCCTTAAGGAAAACCAACAAAGAACATCAATACGAAATCAAGTCCTGCCTGCTGAAAATATAGCATGTGCAGATGCATTGTTTTGGCCTGCAGTTGTCCTGGAATTGGTGGATTTAGTCTTGAGGCCCCAAAAGGGAGGTCCTCCCCTGCTTCCGGAGCATGGAGATGCAGTATGGCTTTCTCTTTCTTCATTAGTTACTTTACGTTTTAATTTGCTTCTTGAAGTGCTGCATTATTCTGTTGTTTTAACATTCTTTTAAATCTGAATACTTTGTTGTAAATAACTGAGAAAACTAAAAGTGAACTGAACATTATGGATGTATTTGCATGAAAAAGGTAATTGTACCCATCCATCTTATGTTTATGATTTTAGTTTGTAAATAAAGTCCTAACTAGAAGTGTTCCCTATTTTTGAAATATATTGTTCTTGAGAATTTTTACTGTAATTGATATTTGCCATGTAGCTTGTTTATTTTGCTTCATAAATGATTATATTATCAGTCATGATGGGCAGTTGAAGTCTTTCTTAACCCAAATTATCATGTTTGGCATGATGTTCACAGGTTCTGTCTGCCCTCAACCTTTACAGATTTGTATTGCTAACCGAGTCAAAAGGTAATATTGAACTTACGGGTTTTAAAGCAAAGAAAGATCAGGCTTTTGTATGCTAAGATTGCTTCTAGCTTGCCTCTTTGCCACAAATATATAGGGCTGCCTATACTTATTGACATGGTTCAGAAAATATGTTTTAGCTGAGAAATATGAAGTTACCCAGTGCTCTTAACTTTAAGAGAGGCCAAAGTTATTTCACTAATTATGGCTCTTAACAAGCAACGCATGATATAAACTTCAACTCTATTGTCAATATGTCCTTGTTTTAGCTGCTTATCATGAGACTGAAGTCTGAAATAAAGAATGTTTCATGACTTGTACCCTTACTTGTTATGTCATTTTTAGAAATAGATAACCTTAACGGCACAAAATTTGTTTGTAATGTCAAAGCGTCGAAAAAGAAAATTTTTGACTGTCTATTAACTGTCAATATTTTGGACATGTAACAGAAGAATCCAACAGTGAGGTGCTGTCGAAGAGCAATTTACAAAGAGCTTACCACGAATGGCTTCTGCCCCTTCGAACCCTAGTGACTGGCATTATGACAGAGAACAAGAATGATTGTGATGAATTTGCGGTTGATACAGTATGCACTCTTAACCCTGTGGAGTTAGTTTTGTACCGCTGTATTGAACTTGTTGAAGAGAAACTGAAACATTCAACATAAATCATCCCTTGTGTTTTGATGCTTAAGAATATGCGTATACATGATGTTGGCAGGGTATACGTCCTCGATTTGTATATGAATTTTGTAACTTTATTTTGTTTAAATTGAATTATTTAGTGTTTACGGTAGTCTTTGGTTATTGTAAATTCTGTGTTGAACTGTCTTATTCATTCTTTTAAAGTTGTTACTGGGGAGGCCAGGAAGATTTATTAGACTTTGGAGAAATTGAAAATTTGGTTAGTAGCTGTCAGTATGTTAATCAGAAAGGGCTTAGATTGGCCAACTTTTCATAATCCTGATTCCTGGATGTACAAGCGCAATGCGTGGACGTGCAAGCTTCAGTACAAGAAAAGAAATGATTTTTCCTTCTAAAAACAAAAGGTAAACCACACAGTTGTAGCCATTTCACTCGCACTTAGGAAATTAAACTAACGGTACGTGGTTCTAATTTCTAAATTTGGGCTTTGTTTTTCATGGGCCAGTGCCACTCATCTTGTTTTATTCCCCATACTCGATGTACAGATGAAAATAGAAGCGTGTCAGTACAAAGCCTGGAAAAGGAAAAGCAGCCATCTTCCCGGCATAGATATTCAGATGACCACAACATAACAACGACAGCTTTCAGAATCATGTCCTTTATCAACGCAACCAGAGAAAGTAACTTCTTATCTGATATATCCTCTCTAAAGAATGAATATTTTGAAATATACACACATTTAACCAATAATTAACAAGTTAACATCTTTTCTATAGCCTAAGATCTGCCAAAACTAGAGCAAGGCCGACTTTATACCGAATATGCCTTGCATTTTTACTTTAAAAATATCAAAGTTGGCTAGAGCACTGCTCTGATCTTCAGAAATGTTGCCAATAAATTCACAGGCATAAATTAACGACAAGGTATTAAATCTTCATGTCCATGAGGGGAAAAAAAAAAAAGTCCCGAGTTCCAAATGGAGTTGGAAATTAACTTTGGCCAATCATATAGATCAGTAAGCTAGGGCACGTGGAAGAACAAAATTGTCAATTTAGATTCAAGAAGCTTGAACAGAGTTGTCTAACAGCTGTTTACCTACAAAGAATGACACGGTTATTTCTACATAGTCCCGAAACAAGAAGTAATGAGGGTTTACCCCAAAGCATTTCGGAAGATTCACGAACCCGCAACAACACAAGAATCTCTTTGGCCTACTTCTTGACTATCATCTCTACACTACCCTCACATCCTTCTTCATGACTCACCCATTTCTTTGACCTTGAAAAACGTTGCAATCGCAGAACAGATGAGTCTTATATCCGTGACATTTGCCCAGAGATTTAAACACTTTACATCTGCGAACAGCTCTTTGGCCATGAACAGATCATTTCTTTCAGCAAATACAGAGGCGATAGATTCCATTTCACAGCAATTACCTTTCATTAGTGAGACACAATGGACAAGTTTTCTTCAACTCGTCCCATATAGAGTCTCAGAGCCAGAATCATCCTCAGATGGCATCATATTTAGATCAGGTAAAAAGGATAGGCTATTACGCTCTGATACAACCATCTCCGTCTCACTAGACCCTGATGATGGTAGATCAACTATTACGGATTGTGATGGTGAGGTTGAAGGAATTTGATCATGAGAAGAGGCTGCTCTCTTGTGGACCAGAGTAGAACCAGCTTTATCAGGCTCGAATGCAGAGTGTAATCCCAAATCCAGCTGCAAAACAGAGTAAATTTGTTAAGAAGAGTCATCAAGGAACACTAAGAAGAGCCACCAATAAGACTAGAAATTGAAAGGTATACAAAGCAAGAAGAAGATCACCTTCATTCTTTTCAAGTTCTCATTTTTAGCACTTTGCTCCTTAAAAGTAGATCGTAGTGTTTCTATCTCCTGTTACATGGATATAAAATCAATTTAAACAGTGAAGAATAGAAGACATATACAAAATATTGAAATTAAGCAAGAAGCTCCATGATCAAACCTTTTTCAAATGTATCCTTTCTTTCAAGAGCAAGCTCTCCTCCTCTTTAAGTTCAGCAAAAGTCTGGAACAAACAAGTCAGATTAAAATAAATTTAAAAGAAAAAAAAAATTACTAAAACATTAGTATAGAGAAGCATCTTCTAAGCAAGAAATCTTTGGATTGTTGAAACCACAACCCAGAGTGGCCAAAGTAGTTGAATTTTGGTCATTATAAAAAAAAAATCAGCATAAAATTCACAAAAATTCACCTTCCTTTTTCTTGATCTCTTAGAGGAATTGCTAGTGGTTTCATTTGTAGCAGTGCCCTGCAAGCATCCAAAATTCAAAGTACATTAATTAATATAACGAACAAATGGGCAAGCAATTTCATCATCTTCCCTTCTACTACATGCCAATTCCCCCATTGGGAAAAAGGACGCTGAAAGAAATTTCCCAACCAGATAAACACAACACTTATTTTGGGGACCCATCAAAACAAACAAGATTATGATAGACGTGACACGTGCATCATTAATTTTAAAGATGCCCCATCAACAACACATTTGAGCCCTCTTCAGAACTAACAAAGGTACTTGTACAGTACTTTGCTGGTAATCAATTGACAGCTGGCAGATTTCAATTGGTGAATTAGCTGTAGAAAATCCACGCTCCTCCCTTGTAAAAGCCGTCCTCCGCAACATAATGAACCAGTAATGGCACGCCACATCATTGAAGACACGTGGTAGCCCATGAAATATCCTTTTAATTATCGCTCACGTGACTAGATCACATGACCTCTCTGCCATGGACGGCAGATATTGAGTCCTTCACTAGCTGTAACTCAATTCAAGTTTCCAACATCAAATCAAAGTCAAAAAAGTTCAATCGACGGCGTAAACACAATCCAACGGCTCAAAATCGTCTTATTTGTGGGACCTAACAACAATTGGGCTTTTATTAGCACAAAGCTGATTCATCTCCGAAAAGATTAAAGAAAGGCCATAGAGAGCAGTGTGAGCAGATAAACACAAAGAAATGGCTGAAAAATATAAAAAAGATTATAACGTGATAGGGAGGTGCAGAATTATCATAAAAAACAGAGCCGCACCTGATCATTTCCCTTACACGCAACCTAAATTAAAGGGCATCGCCACTAAACGCAGACCTATCTCATGCCACCCTCTCTTAATTTGGGCCCACTCTGGGGTCCATGCCAATATTTTTTTACTGACTAGAATACCCTCAAGTTGGTGGAATCTCTACCCCCCAAGTAAACAAATTTTGATTTTTGACTAATAGGAAACGGCAATTTGGTCGAAGAGAAACAAAAGATCGTGTGCGGGAAGCTTCCTGGTGATTACGGTGGGGTGATAGGGAATGGCTAATGATATTACATCTGACAAAATTCTCCCCGACATAAATTCATGCTCTTTAGAGGACCTAAAGCGAGAGTGAAGATGGGTAATTTGGTCAATTTCCAAGCCAACGAGAATGACAGGTTACCGGAAAGAGGCGAGAAGAAAACGTGAGCCACTTTCACATCAGCTGACCTCACGTGAAGATGATATCCTAAAGTACACAGGGACATTTTGGTCTAAGTACTTGAGGATAGACTCGCTACGAACCTAAAGGGCGGTTAATCACCGTTGATCGGAGAGATCAACCTCAAACTATCTAACTGTAAAGGTCAAGAAAATGTAAAAATCCTTCCAAATGGACAGATTTGTCCTTGCAAGCTGCTGACATGGGTACTTTCGTGAAAACTGAGATTTAATTGGGAACCGGAAACATCGGTTTGAGAAAGCCACGAATAATTCCAATTTTCCTAGTAAATATTGAAACTCGAAGGGGTAAAATGGTCATAGAGCTTAAGAAACGGCCTCCAGAAGACAAGAATGTCTCGTCGACGGACACACAACAGAAAAAAAAGCCAACTCAACCTCAACCTCCGAAACTCCGTAGACTCATCAAAACAGAAAACTGAAGGAGTAAATTAACAGACTCTTCAAGGTCATTCACGTCAAACCACACATAGTATAACACGTCACACCACACAGAGATCAGGTCGCCAAAAACCACCTGACACCATCTCATAAGAATATGAAGAAGAGGAAGATGAAGAAGAAGAGAAAGACCTTGGATCTGGCACCAAAAGTTTGGTGGCGGCTTGTTTCTTCGAAGGCGTCAACGGTGGCCGAGGGAGAGGCAGAGCCGCCGCCGCCACTCCATGAAAGCGGAGTAGTAGGACTAGCTCTCATGGTGTTGGTCGAATCTCCTTCTTTTACCCTATCGCATCTGAGAGACCTTGACCGTGGCTGTCGTATCCCCCACCTGAGAGCCGCCGCCATGGCAGATTTCGCCACCGACGTCGTCATAGAAGCCGCTTGCGTCTGCTTCAACCTCACCAACAGCTCCACCACAACACTGTCATCCGTCATCGCTGCCGTCACCCACTCGTCCTTCACCATCATCATCATCTATCAGATAACAAACGCTTCACGTCGTCGAAACAGATTCTGAAATAAGCAGAGTGTAGACAGAAAGAAGAAAAAGAGAGAAAGAGAGTTGGGGTGGCGAAGAACGAGAGAAAGAAAAGTTTATATGAGAAAGAAAGTGAGTAAGATGGGTGTTGAGTTTATATATATATGAGGGTTGGTTTTTTCCATTTAATTTATTTTTATTTTTATTTTTATTTTATTGTGTGGTTGAGTAGATTCCAGTTATTTGGTTTTGTTCTTCGTTGTTATGGGTGGGCTGGGACTTGACCTTTTTTCTTTTTCTTTTTCTTTAATTTAATTTAATTTTTTTTAATTTTTGTTGGTGTGGGATTGTGGGATCCACAATGACATGTGGCACTGACAAGTTTCATTTGTAAATTTGGGATTTAGCTTCTAGGGCTTTGTAAACTGAGTACCGAACACCGTCCCACTGTTGCTTTTGATATATATGGCAATTGAACAGGACCTCTTTCTATATCTTCTTGACCAAACTTCAGTACGGTTCTGTTTCTACAATTCAACAAAATTCGTCCCGGATGAAATCAAATTCTGCCACCTCATCTTGTAAAATGTTTTTTTTGACTTTTGCTGACAAAGCTTCGGCGTCGTTTCAATGTTCACATCGACGGATCACAATTTTTACTTTGTAAATCTTACCAGTTACCATTTCACACCTCATACTCTTAGTCAAAGATATTTCAAAAACCATCAATATAATCATGAAAAAGTTGAATCTTCATTGGTACTGAATAGTGCATCCTCATCTCATCTCATCAATTAATAAATTTATTTTATTACAATATTAAAATTGCGTTTATAACAAAAAAAAAAAAAATGAATAAAATAATAAATAAAATGAATTTGACTTTTTGTATTTATTTTTATCATATTAATTTATATAAAAAAATTTATAAAATTTATTTATACATCTAATATTATTAAATTTGTATTCATCCTTTACTTTATCATGTCCCACGTTTTTTATAATTATTGGTTGATAAAATTCTCAAAGGAAATCCCTCTATATATGAATTCAATGGAGAGGTATCACACAACATTCTACTTAAATTCAAATATATTTCATATACATATTATTTAAGTATAATTAAACACCCTTATAGGATCGTTTAATCTTAGAAACTCTTAGGGTCCGTTTGGTTCATTATTCTGATACTTTTAGAATAATATTTTGAAAAAAATTAAATTGGACGGGTATTATGATGTAAGATTTGAAAATTAACAAAAATACCCCCTATGTTTGTTTATTTACTAAAAACCGTATAATAAAAATTAAAAGTTACAAAAACACGTCCAACCCACCCATTAAATACGAACAACCGACCACCACCATCGGAGGGTTGCTGGGGTGTTTTGTAATTTCTAAAAAATATTTATGGGTATTTAGTAAATTAACAAATTTATGGGAGTTTAAAATAAATTGAATATATAAAATAATATCTTGAGAATAAATCAATTTTATTGTTTACATTTTATAACAAACGGAGCCGTAAAAACTCCCACATGGGTATATAAAACAAACCCTAAAATAAATAAATCATATTAGAATTTAAATATTATATGATATTAGTAATATATTGTAGAAAATAAATAAGTCTTGGTAGTATAAATACGATAAGATTTGATAAATTTGGATAAATTCATATAGAGTTTCTAATTTGTCTGATTGACCTTGTGAGCAAGAATGCACGTGAATATATGATAATAAAATCCTGGACAATTTGGTAATTAAAATGGAAAACAATCACGGGAAATAATTATTTTATCAAATTATTATCCAAATTATTGTGAATTTTTTTTATTTTTAAATAAAAAATTAATATTTAAGTGGTTTTTGTCTAACGTGCTTGGCACGTGGGACTGGGAAAGCACCAAACGCAGTATATTAGAATTTAGAAAAAGCAGTGCGTGGGTGGTGACAGGCGTCAGGCCTTTCGGCAACGTCACGGTATCAAACCCACAAAACAAAAGCCCTAAACGTGGAATTTTACAAGAGTTATTATTCACTAATAACTTGAGTAACACTCCTTGTTTAAATAATTTAAATTCTTCTGTTCTCTATACTCAGTTTCGAATTCTAATAAATTTAGTTGGTGAAGGCAATAGTATGGTGTGGTTTAGACCAATAATTGAGACCGACCTATAATATTCACGGGCTCATAAATTTAGGAAGCAGCCAAAATCAATTCAGGGAATTCAACAATTTATGTAGGCCTATATTACAGTATATTAAATAACAACGTGAATAAAACTTGCAAAAGCCGTATTCAGGTCTGCAAAGTTGGTGAAGATATGAAAACAATAGGGATGGAGTTTATCAAATCAGATTTAATTGGTGGTAAAAGGAAGCGAAACTAAAGCTGGCAGAGAGGTATGGTTGGTGAATAAGAAATCATAAATGATGAAGGAGAATTCATGGCAGGGCTTTCCGTATTATTAATTACAGGCATCTTTTTTCCACAAGAGGGAAGGGAAACCATGGGTATTTTTCTAAGTTTGTTTCAAGATCGAATGGATTCTGAAACAAGTTTTTTTATCTTAAAAGAAAAGAATCAAAAGATGATAGAAATGGAATCCATTAGAGTAATAAGAAAAGAAACAAACTAAAAGGTGTACTAATTTAGTAACCAAGAAAAGTCCTCTTGAAGAAGATTCATAACAATAATTTATTAAACTCCAACTAAACTATACAATGTGAAAACAGCTTTTGATGCGTTAAACCCATATACTAGGCTCATATATTAACTTGGGCCAGAAAACTGATAAGTTATTTATGTAGAGTGGGCCTATGGAATGACCTCAATCTGACCCAAAAGAAAACACGCATGCTCAAGATTCAAGATTTTTGAATTTTAAATCCGAAATAAAGCCCTATCAAATTAGAGGATCGTCTACCAAAAGCAAGCGTTCATTCTCTAAAGAGGACAAACTGAGTATAAAAAGTAGTAACACATAATTAGAGATGGACAAAAGGAGTCATGAACCCAGAAAAGACACCATGCTTTATCTTAAATTGCTTGGCATCCCATTAGCTGCTAAGCAGAATTTTAGATTTGAAGAATAAAAAAGAGGGAATGGTAACCTGATATTAAAACAAACAGTGAGATGAAAAAGTTTCTAAAATACTGACAAAAGAAGATAAATGTATTGGCAGGCAAGTTTTTGTTTAGTCCTCTGAAAAAACCACCAATAATGGGGCATGTCCTCTCAGAAAGTCAAGAAAATCTCATGGATGCCAAGTTTGAGTTCACCCTTTGGCACCACAAAAGCAGTTGTCAAAACTGAATAAAGCCAGTTGAGCTTGAATGATAATTTACCAACACAGTCATGGAGATTGCTGATAATCCTAAGATGACAATTCAATCTAAGGCTGTACTCGAGCTACTTACATTTTTGTGATTCCTTTGCAAAGTTTTGTTAAGACTTGGAATCTCTTTTAACAAGACAGCTGAAATTACTCTTATCATTGAGATAACTTAGAACCCTGCTAACTATATTGTACTTAACTCACAGCCAATTACTCTTTATTATTGAGATAACAGATCTGGAATTGGCTGTGAGTTAAGTGGAAAGTTTGCAGGGCTCTCTTTTTGTACCTTCAGTACTGGGGTATACTTTACTATATTTCATAGCTCCTTTAAAGCATCAAATCCTCCACTCAGATAATGTAGACATGAAGAAATAATAATTAAGAGAACATGAGAACCAATAGAAGGCATCTCCTAAGCAAATTGTTCCCTCAAAGACCTGTCCTCAACAAGAATTAGAACCTGTTTGACACCTCTCATAAATTCATTTCAACGATCAAGTCTCCAATCATGTCTACAAGCAAAGCTTCTCCTGAAGAATATATCAGAGTGATGAATGAAAGAGGATGCTTCCCCAGCCAGAAAAAAATCAATAATCCTTAACCCTGGAAACATTAGAAAGGGTCGATTTATACATCCAGAGTTAATATTCCAATCAATCTAATTGGGAAAATAGACCCCGAATTGATTTTAACTCTGATTCTGTAGTGAGTAGTGACTACGAAGCTCATGAACTTTCTGGCAGATTAATACACCATCCGAATTATGATAGAAAAAAAAAACTCCAACCAGCCGCAATAATCAACAGACCAATACAGAACAGCAGTACACCAGCATAATATAACTAAATTTTTTATTTCGAAAATTAAAGCAACTACATAAAAAGGTAAAACATAATGGGATACAGATAAATCATACCCCAAACAAGATTACAAGAGCCCGGATACATAATATCAGTAACTTCTTCATAATCATCAACCTAATTTACTCAACCCACAAGCAAAGAAAACAAACCCACACCCCCCATTTCTATCATAACCCCTCTTAAAACTAAACCAAAAACTTAACTATACATTGAACTTTCAATCAACCCACTGCTATTATCACAAACCTTTTACGAAAGAACTACTTAAATTACCAGTACAACTACTAATTGCAAAGTTGAGTTAGCCAATTCGGTCTTCATCCCCTTGAAAAAATAAGGGATCAGATCGATAATCAGAAAACCCAAATAATCTCATTGAAACTTTAAACCGCGACTTCTGACTTTCTTTTCAAAGCATATCAAGCTTCAAAATCCTCCTCAAATCACTCGTCGCGTCATCGTGTTTGACAGTCACGGTCTTCTTCGTGAAAAAAGCAGGTAAAGGAAGCGAACTAGGAGGCGGTGAAGCAATAAAAGCAGACCCGGCGTAAAACGAAGCAACTCGGTCCTTCGACTCAGTGAGCCGGATTTGAATCGGGACTGACTCGGGATCAGGTCCCAACCTCTCTGTAGACCCCAGATCTGGATCTTGACGCTTCTTGGTCATCTTTTTCACGGGCTCTGGTGCCGGAATCGGACTCGGTTTGGTGAGTTCCTCCCCACGTTTTAGGATCTTCACTTGACCCATCACGAGATTGCTTTTCGCGGGGAGTTTAGGAGCCACCACTCCTCGTGACGGAGGAGACGTGTTTTGATTCCGTGGCGGACTTCGCTTCCCCCGGGTAGATTGCGCCCGGTTCGACCGGTTCAAATTAGGATAAGAATTTTTAGGGTATTTCGTCTCGGGAGAAGATATCAACGGCTGTTTCGAAAATCGGTTCTGTTTCAGAACATCTTGAGGGTTTAGAACTGCTACAGTCATTTTAACTTGAATTAAAAAAAAAAATTCTAAGATTTAGAACCTAAGAACCAAAGATTTAACAAAGAAGAAAGATTAAAATCAATCTAAGACGAGTCAATTTAGATATCGAAAACAAAGGAAGAACAAAAGCAAGGCAGAAAATTTAAGAGTCTGAAGAACGAAAGGGAAAGGAAATGAATTTATAAAGAGGAAAATTAGGGTTCGCAATATAGACAAGGAAGAGGAAGAATACAATTTCGATGAGTCCTCGTTAGGAAGAAATAGCGTGTCTTTATAGGAAAAACCTAAGCGTGGCTGGAGCGCAATCAGGAAACTTAGAACCACCCTCATTAGTTGTCCGTGTATAACACGTTATTCTAAGTCGGCTTAGGAATACAAATGATATTAAAAAGGAAAAAGAATTGGTATATAATTACAATTTGGGTTCATATATTTTTATATATTTAAAATCATTTATTGAAGAAATTTATTTAATTCTTAAACCAACAAAACTTTATTGAAGAAATTTATGAAAATTAAATAACAAATTATAATGTGATTCATATTTAATGTGTTTGAATTTGTATTTTTAAAATTTTATTTTATTTTTAAAATAAGATTAAGACGTTTACAGCTTATTTATACCTTGATATATTTGCTTTATATTTATTATTATGAGATTCTTTATTTTTATTCTTTGTTAAAGAATATTGGCAATCTTTTTATGCTATATTAACTATTAAGTTTCGTAAAACGTAAAATCAGTTTTCTTAAGTCAGGAGAAAGTATTTTCGTTTTTTTTGAAGGCGGTTCGTGGTGTTCACGGGCTAAGAAGCGAGTGGAATTATGGTTGTTGGGGATAAGACCCCATCAAAACCTCGGTTGTGAAGACTGGCTATCTGACGTGGAAGCGGAACCACTGGTGAGATAATTATCCGCGACCTTATCTCTCACCCTCGTTCTTTGCTTTTATTGCAAGAAATGCCATCTCATTCAACATTCTTTTCCTCTTCAATTACCAAAATACCCTTGTTTTTTAAACGTTATTCAATTTCTGGATTTTTCGCAACTGACAACTGACCAACTCTATCAATAGTCCGTGTACTTATTATTATTTATTAACGCTGAAGTCTGAACATAAAATCAGTAATTCACTAAGGAGTTTCAATATAATTTAATCCTGTTTAAGTAGTATAATTTAACTCAGTACAACGATCCATAATTCCCTTAATTTAATTATTAATTGAGTAGATAATTTGTTCTCAAATAAAAAATGTACACGTCATTTAGGATTTTTTAAAATTCAAAAAGTCAGATCCGGAATTTTGTTTGAGACTTCGAGCATCAAGACAAATCAGTTGCTTAATTGTTAAAAAATCAGAAGCTTTATTAATTAATTAATTAATAATTAAAAAGTAAAATAAAGTTAACTCACGAAACTGAAAAGGACATCCAAGGGTTCACATAGTTTGAAAAAGTTGACGCTTGCCGTCGATTACCAAACACGTATATAAAGTAGTTTGGTCAAAGAACGATGAATCGGTTAAAGCAACCACAAATTCCGAAATACACGTGAGCAGGTGTTAGTTTCGTGATTATTTAGACAAAGGCCTGGCATTTTATAAAGAAGGAAAGAACCTGGGTGCTCGTTCGAAGACAGCTGGAGGGAATCATAAGTACACGTGTTTAAATCAGAACGGGATGACGTAGACTTCAACAAAGACGTGTGAGGAATCTGTCAACCGACTCATTGGGCAATTTGATTGAACCGCTTTTCGGTAATTGCTAGGCTGTTTTTGGTTTGAACTGACAAGACCATTTTCATTTTTTAAAATAAAAAAATCTTTATTTTTATATTTTTTTTTTTCCTGTTTGGTCAAGTTGTTAGACTAATCCTCGAAACAAAATTAACGTAATAACGCACCTTCACAATCCTCACTTAAATTTTGGGAGGCAAAGGATTTTAATAGCTTTTGCTTTGCTGAAAACTAATGTTTAAAATTTTAATGCTGCAATTGCCAAACACGTTTTAATGAGTGGTATATTGCGCTCTCTCCTAGTTCAATTATTATAGGAGAGGTCCAAAGTTTCAACCTTGTATTGGAGGCCCAAAGCTTCAATTGAAGGAATAAATGAACGGGAAATGATCTTTAGTTTCCATTATTTTTATTTTTAACCTTTAGCTTCAGGTTTAAGTAGAGTCAATATGTAATTATAACTAAAAAAAATCTTCTCTTCTTCTATACTTTTGCTTCAAAGCTTCAACTGTTGTCCCAATTTAATAATTATAAAGTATGAAACAAAATTAATCAAGTATCACAAATTTTCCTTAATGATAATTTTTTATACTCAATTTTCTGTTTTAATAGAAATGAAACTATTTTTTTTTTTCTTTTCTTAACGTGAGATTAATGATTGACTACTTAAGTATAAGAGTTTTCAGATCTCACAAATTCTCTCAATGAGAAATTATGATAAGAGAGTGTTTTGTTATACGAAACTAAATACGCAAAGATTTGTTCCCACCCAAAAAATGGGTTATTGACAAATTCATACCCGTTCACTTTTTAAATACACTTTTACGATCCCAAGCAGAATTTGTTAACAATTTTCATTGTGATAAAGGGCAGTATGGTCATAAGCCATTTGTAAGAAAGGGTAAAATGGTCAGTTGACAATTTGCATAGGAAATCAAATTTTCAAATTGCAATATGGGGAATGGGGCGATGAAAGTGTACTCTGCATTGATTCCCCACCTCCATTGACCAATTGAGGCCTGATTTGGGATGTTTCTGTCGCCGTTGGCCTTCCCTGACCCCACCAGCGACATCCCCACCCTCCATTGACCAAAACCCCCAAGGTTTTGGCATGTCACCTCCTATTGATTGTTGGCTACCGTTACGTTAAAGCTTCGAATTTCTCAGCCAAATTCCAACCGATTTTGATAACCAAAACTACCCCGACCACCACTCTTGGCATCATCGGTGCCCCCTCTTCAAAACCCCCATAACCTTACCTCCTGGCAACTCGCGCGTCTGCGATAGCACCACTTGTCGCCGCGTTTGGGTTGTTTTTCTTAGTTGTTTTGGCTTCAATTTGACTGGATTTTGGTTTGGTTTATAGTTTGTTTGTGTTGTATATTGTTTGTTTTGGGTTGTGGATTGATTGTACAAATCCTCTGGCCATTTTCTCGGTTGCCGGACATCACCTCACCTGCCCCCTGCATAATGCCCACCAACAATTCGACCATTTGCCCCAACCAGTCACGGGAACACAAATCTAGTAGCGGTCCACGATTGGCTGGGGGGCGAACACAAAAATAGAAATATTTTCAATCAAACAATCACTGGCATTTTTGTCTTATAATAAAAATATCCGTTTTTAATGGAAACTGTTAACAAGATTTCTGCTTCGATCTCCAGTAGTAAAATGGTATTTAAAAAGTAGGCAGATATGAATTTGTCAATGGGCCATTTTTTGGAGTAGGAAGAGGTTGTTAACTCGTGGAAAAATCGGGTGTGCAAAACTAGAAAAAGCATGACTACATTGAACTGAGATTGGCCTCGGTTGAGGTCATCAAAATTGAACCAGAAAATGCATTTGCAGGCTGAAATTAAGTGGCCCACTACCCAATTCAAGATTCTTGCACACAAGTTAGCATACCTTTCATATGAAAGCACAATAAAATATGGTATGGTTTTCACTAATCTAAATGTGAAAACTATTGGTATGTGTGATTTGTTATTTTGTATGGGATTTTGGGAATAATATTGGGTAGTTGAATAAAATGAATATTACAATGTAAAATTTAAAAATTAACAAAAAAAACCTCATAGGTTTGCTAATTTAACTAAATACCAAAATATATAAAATTTTTATAAAATGACAAAAATACCCCCATCCATCCACAATGTTAGATTCCAACCACCACCATCGGAATCTGGTCGAAAAATGGCGTTACGATGCAGGTGGGTTGGATCTGGCCGGTCGTACGTCGATATGGAAAATACCAAATCTACTATCAGATATGGCCGTTGACAGTCGCAAAAGGCCAGATTTGGCCGTCAGATGGGAGAATTACCGGTCAATTTCGGTCATTTTTACGCCATTGTGATAGATTCCGACAACCACCGACGGTGGTTACTGGAATCTAACAACTATGGGTGGAGGGTGTTTTTGTTAATTTTTAAATTTTTAAATTTTTTTTTTTAGGAGTGTTTAATTAAATTAATAAATTTAAAGAGTTTAAAAGTAATTAAAAAATAGAATAATATTTCTCAAATAATAAAACAAACAGAGCATAAATATTGTGCATGTGTGTCCAAAATTTGAATTGAAACGGCACAAATATTTGTCGACTAGACTACAAAACGACAGTCTTAATTAGACAAATAAAAGCCAGCTTGGGACCAAACCCATTATACTCTGATTGAGACTTTCACATTATTCATTTACCCACTTCCTTTAATCAAAATTCTATTAATTATATAATTAACATTAGGTTTTGGTTATAAATTAAACTATAATTAACTAATATTGTGGCTCATAATGTTAGTTGATAGCTTGAAACCAGATAATGCAAATTGGCTTTTAGCAATTGTAACTTTAAGAAGTAGGTCCATTCTTTTATTACACATGCCAATTCTCTCTTTAGTATATATATTTCAATTTCATATTTTAGTCATATGGTTAACAAGATTTATAATTTATTTAATATTTTATTTTCATGTTAACTTTATTAAATTTCTCTTCAAATAAAGGATTTATCAGAAAACATTAAACATATAAGAGGATTTGATCTTTATATTTTGTTGTTTAAATATTAATATCTCTTTAAACTGAAATGTAAAACGACATGTCCTAGTATTATTAAGACAACGAATATCAACTCGTTCGAAAACTTCAAATGGAGGGTAGTTTACAAGCACGTAAATGGCATGTTGTGCTATTGAGCATATTTCGAACAACAATAAAATTATGTGTTCATATAGTACTTGTGATTCGGTTGATAAAGTTAATGTTTCCGTTTGCTTAAATTATTTAAAAAAGAAAAAGAATGTGTACCTTGTGTTTTATTAAAATTTAATTTCAAAAATTCGAATGCTCTTTTTCTGTCTTAATTTTATAAATTTTGAAAATTATTATATATTGGAGGGAAGATGGAGCATGTTGTTTTGTACTTTGTATTATTTAATTTTATATAAAAAAAAAAAATACTTAAATCAAAGCAAATTACGGAGCAGTTGCAGCATCAAGTATTTGTCTTTTTGTAAATGCCAGTTACTGCATGGAAAAACAAGTGGATTGACTACGACTGTTTACCAACCGTTAGATCTTTGATTTGAGGGTGAATCTAACGGTTTTTAAATTATAATCATGTGGGGCCTTTTAACTAAGGATTATAGTAAACAATAATTGAGTAGAGTGACGTACTTTAGTTTAGGTTGGGGTTGAGCTCATTGTATATTGATGCGGGACGGTCTGACCCTGATCTCTTTCATCCAATGCCCCCTTTGTTTTCAAATTCTCCAACCCATTGTTCACTAACACGTATATCCTTCTTTTTTTTTTTTTTTTTTTAATCATGTGTCCATGTCAACTTATACGCATCTTATTCTACAAGCTTTTTTAATAATCGAGATATCCAATCAGTTTGTACGTACTTCAACTAATTTTGGAGTCCATTAAACACCCTATAATTTTTTTTGGTAATCGAGGGTGCATTCAGTTTGTACGCATCTCAACTAATCTTTGAGATCCATTAAACACCTTATAAGATTTTTTGATAATCGAGGTGTCTAGGTCATTTGTATGTATCTTAATTAATATTCGGGGTCATAAACACTCTATTTTTTGGTAATTTGGGTGTCCGTTAGTTTGTACGCACCTTAATTAATCTTTGGGGTCTTTAAACACTCTACAAGCCTATAAATTGGGTATGTTTAATGTTATTATGGTAGGTGACTCCAAAGAAAGCAACCTAAAGAAGAGAACAAATATCTAGACGGACAGACCAAGCTTTAAAGCTAATTTGAAGTTAGAGTTTCACTACCTAAACCTAAATTTTATAAAATACATTTTATTAAAAGCCTTGACGATTCGACCAATCCATCATATTATTCTATGAGAAACTTTATTCTGGGGTTATGTAATCTATTGGATAAAGTTACACATTTTTTCTTGGTAGCTTCAAGCATGTAGCGAAAAGCAAAACATACTTTACTGAAAGGAAAATAATGATTTGAAAGTAAAGTAATTGTATGACGGTAATTAGAGAGATTAGATTGGGATATCAATGTATGAACCAATTAATATATTTAAACTTTGAATAATATTATACCAATAACCATCTTTTATAAATTTTTTTTATAATTTTGATGTGATAGTTTATAATTGGTCAATTTATAATAGATTTTACATGAATTTTGTATGAGTCTATTAATCAATTATAAATCAATCAATTACGAAATATTACACAGAGTTAAAAGAAAGGGTTGTGGATATAGTAATATTTTTAAACTTCCAATTCTATTACGTAATTAATGTTGAAAATTTGATTATTCTCCGCATCAAACAAGGAAGAAGATGGAAGATGTTGACATACAGAATGTAAAGAGAGATTTCAAATGACTTTGTGAATATTTTTCTACTGTTTGATAATTACAATTCGTAAACTGTCCCACACTGCAACATGAGATCCACTTTCCTGGTGCATCCTTTTTTGTCTGCTTACAGCTTTTTCAGAGGGAGAAAGGACAGTTAAAAGAAGAGCAAAAGATTAATTTTTTTCTTTCTTTAAAAGAGGAGAGGCCAACAGGTTTGTGTTTTGTGTTGTGTGTACGGTCAGTTTTGAAACTCGGCCATGCTTCTTCTTCACTCTCTCTATCTTCTTCTTGTTTCTTCTTAAAAAACTACAAACCAACGCACAATGAATCTTCTTCTTCTTCTTATTCTTGTTCTACTTGTTTTTCTAATACAACCCTTTTGGATTCATGCTTCTTCATTCTCAAATCACCCAATTGCTTTCTCATTCTCAGCTCCTCTTTCTTCACCACTCATTTCTCCCATTTCTTCTTCAATGGCTGCCTTTTCTCCAGGTTTATGTCTATTTCAACTTTTAAATTTCAAAAACAGCTACTCATTTCGGTGCATTTAATGCTGCAAAGCTTTGATTTTTATTGTTAATTTGATAAAAAAATTCTCCCTTTATCTATCTAAATAACATTCAAATGCTTTACTATGCTCTCCCTTGTTATTATTTCGCAGATTTTTGTTGAGGCTTTGCTTCTGTATGTTTAATTTTTCAGGTATTCAAACGGGCAGTGACGACAAGAGCCGTGTAGATTCACATCACAGAATGATTGTTGCACTCATTGTTACATGTAGTGCACTTGGTGCAATTATTTTATCTTTATTGTGTTTGTGGCTTTATCATTTGAAGTTCTCACACAAATCCAGCAATAAAAATGCTAAGAACCCAGGTACTTTTTTTTTTGTTTTTACAGATTATATTTTCCATTATATTTTTGCAATTTGCTGATTTGGATTATGTTCTTTGTTCTGTTTGTTCTTGTTTTGCCTGGTTTGAACATGGAGATGCTGAGAATGGACTTGGTTTATCGCCATTTTTGGGTAAATTCAATTCTGTAAGAATGGTTAATAAGAAGGGAGCTGTTATTTCATTTATTGATTACAAGTTAATTGAGAAAGCAACCGACAATTTTCATGAGAGTAATATTTTGGGTGAGGGTGGATTTGGATGCGTTTATAAGGCTAGCTTGGATGATAACTTGATTGTTGCCGTCAAGAAGTTAGATTGTGCTACTCAAGATGCTGGAAAAGAATTCGAGGTATCATCTTTAAAAGGGAATTTATTATTTTTCTTTATTTTGTTGCTCTGCTTGTTCTGACTTTGAGTTGTTCTTCTGCAATTGCAGAATGAGGTGCATATACTAAGCAATATTCAGCATCCAAATATAATTACTCTTCTGGGTTACAGTGTTTGTGATGAGACAAAGTTCATTGTTTATGAATTGATGCATAATGGATCTCTTGAAACTCAACTGCATGGTAAGAAATTAAGAAATGGAAGAACATTAAGTAATATGAATTAGAAAAAGAATTGACATTTTATTTTTTCTTTTCGATTTTATTATTCAGGTCCTTCTCAAGGATCAGCGTTAACTTGGCATATGCGGATGAAGGTTGCCCTTGATACAGCAAGGTGAGTTTGTTCTTGCATAAGATAGTTCTTTTTTTTGGTTGGTTGCTGAGTATTATTTTTGTATTTGAAACTTTTGACCAGAGGATTAGAATATCTCCATGAGCACTGCAATCCACCAGTCATCCATAGAGATCTGAAATCGTCTAATATACTTTTGGATTCCAACTTTAAGGCTAAGGTAAAATAGTACTAAAAAAATTACTGAGGTGCCTGGTTTTTTCTTTATAATAATCTCAAGATTCTATCAATATACTACTACCACACTTTGTAAACGTATAACGCCGAATCCACTGATACATTTCTCTCTCTCATTTGCTCTGGTTTTAGCTTTCGGATTTCGGTCTTGCCATAGCTGATGGAGGTCAAAATAAGAACAACCTTAAGCTTTCTGGCACGTTGGGTTATGTAGCTCCAGAGTATCTATTAGATGGTATGCCAAATTGATAATGTATTTCTTTAACTTGACCAGTTGCTGTGTTTATTGATATATATATTGTTTGGACCCTTGATGACTTCAATTATATTGGGAGGTGCGGTGAGTTTTATAAACATGGAAATTTCTGTGTTATATAATAAGTTATCTTGACATAGATGCACATGTACTGCCTCTGCAAGGCATCTGGACTAATTATGTTGTCTCAATTTCAAATGAGAGAACCACATGCAGAAGAACATCTCAAGCTACTTCCTGATTTGCAAATATTATTAGCTTTAATTAAACATTTTCTGAAATTGATGCGATTTGGTTATACTTGTTTTCTAATAAGAAAATTCTGTTTTCTTTATTTCTCTAGGTAAATTGACAGATAAGAGTGATGTCTATGCTTTCGGGGTTGTGCTTCTGGAACTTCTTCTGGGAAAAAGGCCAGTGGAGAAACTGGCACCAGCTCAGTGCCAATCTATTGTCACATGGGTACTCCATGACACTAAATCCACCATTCATTTATTTTTGTTTCTTTGAAATTCATGTTATAAAAGATTGAATTTTGAAACTAAATGCTTGAGCTATTTTATTTATGAATGCAGGCCATGCCTCAACTGACGGATAGATCTAAACTTCCAAACATCGTGGACCCTGTGATAAAAAATACAATGGATCTGAAGCATTTGTACCAGGTTTGTCACCTACATAATACTGCATTTACTGCTCCTGTACGTATTTTGGTTTCAATGTGCAACTTAGGTAGATCTAAATTGAAATCTGGCTTCTACTTACCAGCTCTAACCAGCTTTTGGATTAATTACGGTTTGTCATTTTTTAATAGATTTTCTTGGTCAGTTGTTGGTTGAGCTGAAGAAGAATTAGCCGAAGATATAAGCTTAGCGATTATTGTTAGGTTAGAAAGCTTGCCATCAAATGCATCATCAAGTCTAGCTTCTGTATGCTGACCCAAATTAGAGATTAGTCTAATACATTTTTTTTTTTTTTATTTTTTGGGCAGAAAAATTAACATGAATAAGTCAGAATTAAGGTTAGGTTAAGAATGGTTGGCGCGAAGCTGAGAATGGCTCAGCTACTAACTCTCTCTAGTACCAACAGACATAATAGAAAAAAACCGAGTTGCACTCAACATATTATTTATTTACAGGTTGCTGCTGTTGCCGTGTTGTGTGTGCAACCGGAACCAAGCTACCGCCCATTGATAACGGATGTCCTACACTCTCTTGTACCACTCGTTCCCATTGAGCTTGGAGGCACTCTAAGAGTTACACCACCAGGGCCTCCGGCAAACACCACCATACCTTAAGGATGGAATGCCCAAAAGATACAGAAGAACCATTGTGATGATGCAGCGCCATTTTGATGGCTTTTAACATATAATTTTTATTCCTTTTGGTTATCGAGGTGGATGGTTGGTCTGGTTAAAGAGATAAAGAGTATTGGATTCTTCTTCACATATGTACATTGAAGCTTTAGATGTATTATGATTTCTCTAGCATTCTGAAAATCACTTGTTCATACGAGACTCTTTAAAAATTGAAATATTGAGGTAAATGGTTTTGCCTGTAAATATTTTTATTTATTTCTCCACGCTATATAAATCTCTTTAAATTGATTTAATTTAAGTAAATGATACAGCATTATTGTATTATAATCTCACCTATTATATGAAAAAAAAATTATTATAAAGAGTTTGTATATGTAACATGACTCATCTTCCCAAGACTATTAGATGTTGACCCAGCGATGGCCAACTATATTTCAAGGTCGTCCTATTTTTAGATGGTTTATCTGCTGTTCAACAGCTCTTTAACACAAGAATTGGCTAGTAAGAATGACGGTGGCATCGTACCATATCAGCTATTGCGTGTGAAAAAAATTCATGGTAAGGGTGGCTCAAATGTCAAACGTATGCAAAATTTAAGTGGGTTTGGCAGACACGCAATTGACCAAAATGCTAAAGAAAACATGGAAACAGAACAACCATAATGTCCAAGTGTAAAAACACAAATCAGTTTCATTGTGAATTTGTGGTGAAAGCCCGTAACTATAAAGCAGAAAACCTGGTTGAGTTTGAGCCAGAAAGTACTCAGATAATGGCTCTAAGAATCCAGAAAACGAATAGCTATAAATTATTGCCTAACAGCTCAATCAAACTCCCGTTAAAGACTTTTTACCAGTCGCTTGACATTATTACAAGTTCTCATGACCCCCCCCCAAAAAAAAAAATAAAAAAAAATCAGCAAATAATGATCATATATGAAACTCACCAAAATTTTTAAAGGCTTGCTTCTTATAAGTGTCTCATGATCCAACGATTTTAATTGACATTGTGGAATGAATCAATAATGGCATCGGCAAGGTATTTACATTTGGCCAAGGACAATCCAGCCAACGATATCCTTCCATCCTTGGTCATGTATACATGCCACTTATTTGTCATGTTATCGCTCTGCAAGATAAAAGAGGAGTTAAAAAACATAAGTTTCTTGATCATAGGCTAGTCAACAAATGAGATATAGGGAAGTTCAGTTCAGAGAGAAAAACAAAAGCAAGAATGCATATGCAATGAAGAAGGGGAAGAAGCTGAATAGCTGATATGTCGTTATTCTAACATTATTTGAAATAAATGGGATTCCCCCAGCTTAAAAGAATAGTTGTCCATGATTCAGGACCTCAGATGTAAAAATCTGGGTCAAAAGGACATAAAACTAATGAACATAATCTTATGTCAATATGTAAATCCCTGCAGCAAAGATGACATTCTGGAAAGCTAGAAATCAATATACAAGAATTTTGAAATTTAAAGGAAAAAGATTTTAAGCATGGGGAATTACCTGAGCTTTATTCAAGCCCGTGAATGAGAACATGCCAATCTGCTTAAGAATGAAAGACCAATCTTTGCCACTCTTGTCTTTTGAAGAGAGACTATCAAAAAGTTTTTGTCTCACATTCTTTATCCTTCCAGCCATCATTTCCATCTCTGCTTTCCATTCATTGAAGAGAGTTGGATCACCAACGACATTCGCAACAATCCTAGCTCCATGAATAGGTGGATTTGAGTACATAGGTCGAGCAAGCCTTTTCAGTTGGCTCTTTACCCTGAATGTACAAAACATTAATCAGCATGCCTCCACCAAGATGCACCACTCCAAAAGTTAGAAATCATCTGTAAAAGCTAATAATCTTCATATTTTGCTAGAGTTGCAGCAAAATCAGTTAAAAAGTTTTTCTTTTAATAAAAATAATAATCATAAATTGCTTGATAAACAATATAGAAAAAGAACACAATGATGTAAAAGAGACATCTCCATATTTTGGTATGGCTCCAATTTGAATATACTTGACTTACAATTATTACTTCAAAAATTGTGAAGAAAAGAAAATTGATCAGATTTCTTGTATTAGTAATGCCTTCCCAATAAAACCTACTGTAGTTACTTCATTATTCTATTTTCCTTTCAACTGGATGCCCAAGATTGTTTTTTCTCCCCAATTAGCAAATATAATTATAAAAACCAAACTCCTTCCCATTTTGGTATATGCAAGATTTGACATCAGCTAAACTAACTGATACATGAGCACTAGCCCAAGAAAACTCCTATGATGAGACAGCTATCGATTCACAGAAACTTGCATATAAAAACCATAATTTCATGCCCAGGTTTAGGGAGTTTCAGTGATTGAGAACACAAGCCCGCGTTAAAATGCAGCACACAACCCAGATCCAATATTAAAGACAAACTCAAATAACTAGATACCAGCTTTTGGGCCTAGATATCTAATTAGGATTTTATCCAAAGGAGATCTGAACAACAATGCATAGGTTAAGCAAGAAACTTTCAGTGGGGTTTCTGACAAGACTAATAAATAAAATAAAAGTGACACAATACTGTAATCAACGATGTCCCATGCAGAACTTTTATGCAGATACTTCAACAGAATGCTATCTAGATTATAGAAGAAGATTAAGGAGCAAAACATTATCTGCACCTTGCTGCTGCATCTGCTGATGAGCAGACAACATTGATTGCTCCAATCCTTTCTGCATAAAGACCAAGATTTTTACTGTATGACTGAGCAACTAGAAGCTCCATACCGCGCTCGGCAAACAACCTAACAGATGATGCATCTGCATCAAGGCTTCCACTTGCAAATCCCTACAGTACATAAAAGTGTTCTGATTTCGAGGTCACTGGAAAAATGGTTGTGTAATTAGACTGAACCTTCACATGATGTTACAACATGAAATCAATCAACAAATCAGTACCTGGTACGCAACATCGAAAAAAGGAATGTGGTTCTTCTCTTGAATGACATCGGCAATTTTTTCCCACTGTTCGGGGGTTGGATCAATGCCAGTAGGGTTGTGAGCACAGCCATGGAGCAAAATAAAAGATCCTTCAGGGGCTGCCTGTAGATAGACAGAATAAAGAAATACTGAATTAGAGAAAATAGAACCTAATTGAAAATTTAGAAAATAGAACCTAATTGAAAAAGAAGGAAAGAAAGTTTGACACTTCTGGACAAGATGCAACCTTTATGTCAGCTACCATCCCCTCAAAATCCAAACCAACTGTTTTTGGATCATAGTAACGGTATTCAGACCATGGAACTCTAGCATCATTGAAAATATTCTTGTGATTACCTGCAGGATGGTTCTGTTAGAGCCAAAAAAATATAAACCTTGAAGCAAATTTCACAAACAAATTAGAGGGAGACACAATAAATACCCCAAGTAGGAGATGATATTAGAACTTGTGCTCCAGGAAAATATCGTTCTATAAGAGCTGCGGCTAGTCTCAGAGAACCAGTCCCTGAGAGACCCTGTACCGTTGCAACCTGGAAATTTTTTTGTTTCACCTTAATCAAACATTCATGGCAAAACGAAAACATGATTTTCTTTTACAATATGACAGACTAGATTCTACATACCCTTTGTTCATTTAGCACTGCACTGTCTGCTCCAAATAATAACTCTGCAGTCACCTTATTAAATGCAGCCAGACCTTCGATTGGGAGATACTATAAATTTTAATTACGTTGCTGTTAGCGATCCTAGGTTAGAAGAACAGCCTCCAATAATCTATACAACTGAGTACATCAATTACCTCTTTGTTTTCCCCTCTCTCCAGCATAAGATTCTCTGCCTAGAAATTGAAATGGGTTTGAACATGATTAATAAGTTGAATTGACAGTGAAGTATCACTACTCACATTCGTACTTTCTTAGGAAGAATAAATAGGAAACATAGATCATAGGGGGAAGAAACCAGACTCCTTGAGTGAAAATCATAAAAATGTTAACAATTGGTTGATGAAAGAAAACTGACCTTCTTAACAACATCAAGCACATAAGGCTGTAGTTCTTCAGTTCGATAAGCTCCAACTCCAAGATTGAGTTTTTTATCAGTTGTGTCTGCCTTAAAGGCCTCAGACACTCCAAGAATAGGATCAGGGGGAGCCATTGTTACACCCTCAAAACGAGACACATTGACTGCAACAGCCATAGATACCCGGCCAAAAGACTGCTGATCAAATTAAAAATAATAATAGTTAAAGTATACAAATACACAAATCAAATCAAATTTAATTCGAATTGGAAGTCCCTTTAAAACACACACAAAAAAGAAAAAAGAAAAAAAAAAGAAAAAAGCTTATTTTCGGACAATCACGTCATAAAGAATCAATCTACTATTCATCCAGACAACAATATGCAAAGATCCAATGAGTAATTGATATAAGAATAAAAGATCATAAATGACAAAAAGACAACTTAATTTAAATAAAAACCACCGAAATTTCATTACTCCGTAACATATAACAGCGTTATCCGGATTATCCCCTGAGATAACAAAATAAATTTGAAGATAAAGGACATATAAAGAGCATTTTTAAAAAAAAAAAAAAAACGCACCTTTGTCTTCATCAAACCTGGAGTCAAATTGACACTTCCAAGCTTAACCTTCCCCTGCTCAACGGACAAGAAATTGATGTGATTCACGTCAGCAACATTTTTCATCAGGAACTAAACAGAAAAGTGAAACAGAGTCATATAAATTAGCAGTACCTTGAGAGTATCGTGCATCGAAAGCGAAGCCGAGGGAGATGCTGAAGCTACAGAAAGCATTGTTGAAGCCATCTGGTTTCAACTGTTACGAATCAACGAGAGGAACAATAAGATTTTATGAAGATATAACCAAATCAATTCTAATGTATGCGTGATCTACAAAGCGAAATATGTAAACAAATATATCGAGAAGGTATCAGATTGCGATATCAAATGAAATTTCACCTAGCAAAAGATGGATGTGTCGATGAGTACGAAGGAGAAGACTGGTGTGATCTTTAGAGTGACAAAGTAGCGTTTGAATCGACGCTGATACAGTGAGGAGAAGTAGTTGTCATTGCTATATCCGTGTGCTGAAGATCAAGGGTGAAATAGTCTTTTTAAGTCATAAAAGGTTTGGTTTGAGTAGTAAGTAGTAAGCGATGGGCGATGTTGGGTGTTAACGGAGTAAAAGGTAACTTTGGACTGCCATTTGTCAGCAAATGAGTGGCGCCACGTTCGGCCCAACAAAATTGTAGTGTTAAGAGCGGACTTTTTCGGATCGGATGGATCCCATCCGTCCGACTAATTTCAATGAGTTGGTTATGTGGTTGTAACTGTAAAAATATGGATGGTCTTAATCCAGTTTAATCTGGATTATTAAGAACTGTCACTTGTACTAATTGTTGTTCGGTTAGAGAAGCATTTTATTTATGAAGATCAATGAAGAAAATATTCTCTACAATTAGTCGAAGTTATTATTATTATTATTATTTGGGAAGTTTATAATATCAATCAATGTTCTGAAAATCAGTCCGGACTATGACCCGTTCAAGGGTCCGGTTTCCAATTTGACCAATTGGATCGATCGATTGGATAGTATCCTAAAAATTTTTTTTAGTCCCTTAAGGTTTGAAATCTATCCAAAACACCCCTGTCGCGCGAAGAGACTGGTGAGTGGTGACGACAACAACGATCAGCCAATAGAAGTTTGAAATCATGGAGCTTTTGATGTATAGATGCCGACAAATCTTATGGTGATGTTAGAGAGTTCTACTGACGCCAAAATTTACCGGAATAAAAAAGGATGTCCGACGATCGCATGAACTATAGGTAGATGGCGAGCAACGAAAGACTGGACAACAGCCACATAAAATGGATGGGTTTTGTCGTAGAGATGCCGTCAAGTCTAATGGTGGTGTTTTTTCCCTCCAACGATGTCGAAATCCGACAGAAATGAGTTGCGATTGGGCCGCGATTAGACACTATTCTGACGGTCCAACCGCGGCTCAATCCGGTTTGATTAAAAATACCAGTTGGCGGTTTTCAGAACACTGATACAAGCTACTGTGCACTTGACATATCAAAACAAGATGTGAAGAGCCTGCCACTGCGAACTTGAAGAAGCCTGCCAACCGCCAACCGGTCAATGGTGAAGACATGCCCATATAAAATTTGGCCTTCCACTGAGCAGCTATATATTTATATCCATAATAAGAGTTATTTGACTGAAATAAGAAAATTAAATAGAAAAGTGAAGGTATAACTACTGTCTCCTATTCCAGATTTGCGAAGAGCATGACTCCTCGCTCTGTAATATCAATATGCATACATCAACCAACTTTTATCACTCCACCTAAAAATCACAAGTAGTAACCTTAACGTGCACAATCAGCTTTCCCCTGTCCACTGAATGATACCAAGCAGCTAACTATTTTGCTCCTTCCCTCCCTGTCTTTGAAAACTCAGTTACACGAGTCAAGAAACGAAAAGTATGACCATGAGCATTTTAACTGCTAAGTTACTTCATCTCCGACTAAAGGTTTTTAACTTCCTCTGAAGCAATCGAAATCACTAAGCCATAAATTTTAACATTACTTAGAAAGGCAAACCTAAAAGTTTAACATTAACATATCGGTCAGAGCCCGTAAAACATGCAAGCAACTCATCCACAGATGTCAACCTAAGAACAATTTTTTTACCCGAGTGACAAACCAGGAGAAACAACCCATCCAGGTGCATTCGACTCCGGCAGATTACTTCTTGAAATACAAGCATAAAAAAAACAGAAAAAGAAAGATAAACATGCCTAGTATAAACCTATTTTATATTTGACAACAAATCTAATTCTTCCCCTCTATATTCTTATCTCATACAAAAACATGCCTAGTATATTCGTATTTCATAATCAAATGACAGTTCAAATGTAATATCCTAGTAATTTCAGTTGCACAATAGAAAGAGGCCTGATAGCTAAAAAGAAACAGACTATGATTAACCCGTGGTATCACTAAACTACAGAGAATTATCAATCTTCAGTTAAAGAGTTGAATAACCAAAAACCATTATTACAAACATGAACTGCAACACAGGCCAAACCAGCTTTGGGAGATACAATCAAAAAATCAACCTATATGAACCCATCAGTAATAACAAACATATAAACTTCGATAATTTCCACAGGCATTAATACTTGAACAAAACTGAATTAACTAAAAGGAAAAAGGAACTTAAGTATAAATTGAAGGAACAAATTCCGAACAATAATAAAAGCCCAAAACATTAAGGAGTCTTATGAGTTCCGTATACAAATGCGTTTTTTCTCAACTGAATACAAAGCATAAAGCTTGTATCACCATGGTCTTTAAGACAACTAAACACTCTAAATTACTTTAAAATAAGCTTAAACAGATCAACAAAAGATCCATCCGAACAAACACCTTAGAATCCAAGCTTGGTACGACGCCAGTGCCTGCGCTTTGCGTTATACCTGAAAAATAAAATCAACAGAAAGAACAACAGTTAGATATCTCTCATCGTTCTTAATACAGTTTCAACATAAAGATAAATAAGAGAATGAAAAAATGCCTGATAGTGTTATCGGTACGCATGCGGATCCAGTGAGGGATAGGCCTGTTTTGCCTCATCTTCTTGGCCAGTTTCTTCTTGATTATAAAAGTCTTGTGTGACGGCTGTTGATATATTCATGTAATATATCAATTACAGATAAAAAAGCCCAAACCAACAATAACTTAATTCTACCGAGAAAAAGAAAGACGAAGAGAGTATTACCATTTTCGCTTCTCTTCGATCGGCTGCAGAGTGGGAGACAAACTGCCAGTAGCGAAAACCCTAATCGCAAAAACCCGAACGTGAAGGAAAGGTGCTTTTTATATGAGGGCACTCGGATAATTGGACTAGTCTGGACCGACTCGCATGTTGGGCTTCTTGGGTCCAAATATAAACAGCCCATTTAGCCGTTCTTAGGTCCCAAATTAGGCTAACGACTTACACATACCCAAGGTTTTCCGTAATGACAAAGTGGTATCCAAAAGGTTTTAAAACAACAAATAGGTACCTTCCGTCATGTGTTATTAGTGATTTCCGTTTGGTAATAGTGCAAAGACTAGAATGCCCTTGAAAGTTTGATATTTTAGTTTTTTGTAAATTTAAAAATTTCTAAAAAACCCCCTAGGTTTGCTAATTTTAACTAAACACCCCAATATATAAAATTTTTGTAAAATCACAAAAACACCCCCACCACCCGTAGTGCCAGATTCCGGCCACCACCGCCAGGATCTGATTGGAAAATTACGTTACGACACAGACCCGTCAGATTTATGTCGTAATGCGTCAATCTGGCATTTTCCGACCAGATCTGGCCGGAAAAGGCCAGATCTATAGCCATATCTAACCAGAAAAGGCCGCAAAACTCTCGACGGCCAGATAGACATGTTACGACACAAATCCGACGGGTCTGTGTCGTAATGCAATTTGCCGGCCAGATTCCGACAGCGGTGGCTGGAATCTAGCACTGTGGGTGTTGAGGGTGTTTTTGTGACTTTACAAATTTTTTATATGTTGGGGTGTTTAGTTAAATTAGCAAACCTAGGGGGTTTTTTAGAAATTTTTAAATTTATAAAAAACTAAAATATCAAACTTTCAAGGGCATTCTAGTCTTTTCAACATTACCAAACGAAAATCACTAACAGCACATGACGGAAGATACCTATTTGTCATTTCAAAACATTTTGGGTACCACTTTGTCGTTACGGCAAACCTTGGGTATGTGTAAGTCATTCGGCCTCCCAAATTATTGCCAACAACAAATCAGCCATACATTTACTCTCGTATCCAGCTGTGAACCAACATTCCTAACGGCATATGTTTGGTGTATTTATATTTTAATTTTCAATATATACTATGAAATGAAAATAAAAAATGGAATTATGGAACCAGCTGAACTTTCTCCGAGTCACTGCGATTAGGGATGTTTAAAACCGGTTAACCGATTTCCTAAACCGAATCGGTTTTTCAGTTCAAGAATTTTCCTGAACCGAAACCTAACCGTTTAGAAAAAATCAGTTAACCGATTTTGAACCGGTTTTCTCCTTAAACTTAAACTTATTATTATTATTATTATTATTTTAATTTTTCCTCATTTAAACCGTTAAAGTGCATAATTGTAATATCATCTGCTACACATTTGTAAAATCTTAGTTTTCCTTACACTAAAATCTTAATAATCAATTCTCTGATTCTAAAAATCACGATCAAATAATATTCTTTTGTTTTTGGTGTTACACCTAACATCAACCATGCCTGAAGATTTTAGAGAAGATTCAAACTCCAATTCGAAGATTAATACGACGAAAAGCTTTAAAGTCCAAGATTGATAATCCTCTTTAAATTCCGCTCATAACTTCCACTTAAATTCCAAGATTTCGTTACTTACGAAGAAAACCTTTAAAGTCAAACACAATGATGTTAAGAAAGAGCGATCCATATTATTGTTGTATTGCTGACAACTCAAAATGGTAACTAAATAAAATATTGATAATCTCATAAACCGTTTTAATTCAAAAAATTTAGAGAAGATTTCAACTCTAATTGGAGGTTTAGATTGTGGAGAGGAAAAAAATTATCTCATTGTTTGTGTCTCTGTGATGAATCTGGAGAGGGACGAAGCTGAAAAAGATGAGTGACTGAGCTAAAGAAAGACAAAGCTGCTGCTGGAGGTGAGAATGAAGAGCGACGAAGCTGCTCCTGCTGCCGAAGGTGAGAATGAAGCTGTTTTGAAGGAAAATCGAAGCTAGACAGAATCGATGAAGGTGCTCTGTGACTGTAATAGTGTAATGTGGGTTGTGGGTGGACGGTGGAGATTGGAGAGTGGAGACTAGAGAGAACAAAGACTGAAAACTGAAAATGAAAGCTGAAAATGAAAAGGGGATTTAGGTTTAGGGATTTGTTTTATTTTATTTTAATTTAATATATTTAATTATTTATAGTAAACCAGTTAATAAAACCGGTTTCATTTTCTCCCAAATCGATAACCGAATTGAAAATGTTGTTTTTTAATTTCTTTGAACCGAAATCGAACCGGTTTTTCGGTTAACCGAAAATTTGGTTCGATTCAATTCGGTTTTTTCATTTTTTTTTTAACACCCCTAACTGTGATGCAGTGTAGCAATGAATGCATTTAGTAAAACAAGGTGATACTCATCGTGTTATTGTTGGGTTTGTTCTTGTTTTTAATATTATCATTATTATTGCCCTAATGAAAGGTTAAAACAAGTTATTATTGCACGAAGGAGAAGAGTTCCAATGATCACCTTTATTAGTGTTTAGAGGGATTTAAATTCAGGAGCTCATAGAGCCTTCTTTTGCTCTTTTATCATCAGGTGTCATTATTGTTGTCATAATGAAAGGTTAAAACAAGTTAATATTACACGAAAGAGAATACATAATATAAATTTGAGAAACTTATGACGGTTTATAACAATACATAACTAGCTTTGTAGCTTGCGGGATCCAATTGATCATTTTAAGTTTTAGAAAGTTTAAACTCATTCTCAAAAGTTAACTCAAAGGAAAAGAGAATTCAATTATATATATATATATACATTCTATCAGATTGATAATATAGGACAAATACAACTTATAATATTATAGGAATAAAGGAAAAGGGAGCTTTAAAGTACTCGAAAATCCAATTCTTCTTAGCGTACAAATGGAATAAGGAAGTACTCAGCATAGAATAACTGCAGATCAAGTAAACAGAAGTAGTCAGTCTGGGGTTATACAGAAACGAGGGAGATATATATGCTAGTGTGTGATGGGACATATGCTGATCAGAAAAAGAGAAATCACTTGCCTTCCAAATGAACATGTAAAAAGAAGTTATCGATGCTTTACTTGAGAGATCAACAGATCGAGCTCGAAGCCACAGAAAGGAGGCGAGTGTGCAGTGGCTCAGTATCTGCATTAGAAAGAGAATCCTTATTAATTATGAGAGATTAATTAATACTCCATGAAGTACTTAATGAACAAAGCACAATTCCTTACAGTAACAAGCTTGCTAATTGGTAGGGAAGATGCAGAAGCTCCCACCATTACAGCTGCTCCATAAGCCATCAACAGCATTTGAACACAGAGCCAAAATACCTTGTGAGAAAACCCGGCAACGAATATTTGTAAGTCAACAAATACGGCCTGTTTCCATTTGGTTAGAAAAGAAGGAAAATCTGAAAACAGAGTCACATATACTCACTCTTTCTTGACCTAGGCTGACACTAAAGGATTGGATGCCAAAATATCTGTCGCCATCTATATCAGGTATATCCTGTGTTAAGCGTCCAAAACAAGTAAATATATAAACAAACTGCTTAGGAAATTGAGCACTAAGATGTCAAGGAAGGAAGTATTCTGAATTACCTTAAATAGTGCTATAACAGTAGAGAAGAAGCACATGAAAGCGGTGGCAAATAACAATGATTTTGTGATTACTATAGGTCTACCGAGCACATATTTCTGGATGTATGAACAGCTTCATCATCAGTTACGAATAAATTAATTTAATATATAGTAGAAGGGATTGATGAATTAAACCTGAGTGTGTATAAAGAAAGCAAGTTGAATTACAAGTGCCCTCACAAACAGGATGCAACTTGCAGCCAGAAATGGGTGTCTCTTCCATCTAAGAAAGGGATGCTACAAGAAGAACCACAACGCATTAAGCAGTCTCATCAGTACGGAATAATATGATTGATTTGATGATTTCATTTGGCTTTGTAAAGCAGTTACCTCGACGGAATAAACAGTTCCAAGCAGACCGCCTATGAGGAGAGCAAAAACCAGTGGTGGAGATTTAGAAATAATCCCCATACCCAGACTCTGAAAATTGAGATCAGGAAAGAAATTTTTAAGAGGAACATTGCTAACAGGAAAATGGTTTTATAGTTAGAGAGATTAATTAATAACTAAAAAAACATAAATAATTATAGTGCATATTGTATTATTTAATCCTCTAACATGGCCAGAAAGTAGTACGAGGAAAACGATTTAATATTAATTTATAAAACACAGTTATGGATTGTTAAAAAAGCAGTGGAATTTGAAGATTGCTGCCAATCTGCTTACCATCAATAAAGCTGCGGAAACAATTGCAGTTCCAGTTCCCATCGAGAAATCACCAGAAGCGACGGGAAGATCGGGCTTATTAACCTGTGAACATTAACAATAAACTGAGATAAATAATCCTATAAGTGTTACTGCTGTTGCATCATGCATGAATACAATAATGAATTACCAGTTATACCTTGTCTATTTCAACATCAAACAACTGATTTAAACCCACAATGTAAATATTCATCAATATTGAGGGCACCAAAGCCTGGAATATCAACAAGGATCGATCGATGTTATTATTCAAATTTGAAATAATCTTCATAAGCAGTTTTGTTTTGTTTTCTCTTATAGACTTGACATGCTACCTAAAATAATCCTGTTACCTTCAATAATCCCATGAAAAATGTGGGAGTCAAATCAGCAACATTTACTACCGGAAGAAGGGAAACCGATATTATCCCTATAATCTGACCAAATAAAAAGAAATATATAAATGAATAAATCTTTAACCACACTTAATAAGGGTAGTACTTTCACGGAACTCACAGTGCTAATAACGGTATGAGGTCGACTAAAACGATAAAACGCGTTAAGTTTCTGGGAAAAAACCTCCAGAAAGCTAGTTGCGTTATCACCATCATTTTCAGATTTTGAGGCATAACCATCTTGTAACGTGACACGATTAATAAAGTATCTCTTGAGTGGTTTAAAATTGACGTTGTTTATTATTATTTTCTTTCTGTTTCTATTAATATTATTGGCTTCTATGAACGAAACTGTGTTTGAACTTCTGATAGCCTTCCAGCAGCTCAGCTGAGCGCAACTTTCCTGTCTCACTGCCGATTCAAGTGCTACAACACAACCCGGAAAAAGCAAACATGAATACGAAATAAGAATCTTTCTTTAAGATAAACGTACGTGTCGGTGTGCATGCAATTTATTTAATTACAAATTTACAATGTTAAACGTTAACCACTAATTACAGCTTTGGTATTATCAAAAAATCAAAAATAAAATCTCCACGAAGATGAAGATAAGCATATTTATTCTTATCTTCATCGTATAGTCCATAACTTCAAATGTAAAGAAGAGAAATAGTCAAGAACATAATCAAAGGTTGAGACTGAGAGTGATGGAGAAAGGAGAAACATACATACCCTGCCCTGAAATATGATGATACCTTAGAGGGAAGCTTGATAATGAATAAGATTGAGGCATGGCTGCTCTCTCTTTCCTTCTGTATACAATACAAAACTTATAGGAGGAAGCGATTGTACTTTTTACCAGCGATCGTTTATTCCTTTGCTTAATTTTTATCACTGTTTAATATCAAAGTCGATAACTGTAAATTACTAGTTTAACAACTCAACAAATTTTCCAACTTTTTGAAATTCAAAACTATTCGATGTTAATATGTTTGTACCAATGTTTATGAATCACTAATAAATTTATTTATTATTTATGTTCTTCGCTCTATATAATTAGCCTATTTGGCTGACTTTCTCACATTCACACCTACAGGTACTCGAACAAGAAAAAATAAATATAAACCTAATCACATTCTCACTTCTTTCTCTGGATTTTTCAAACTTATGAAGCATAATTAAAAGCATGAACTCGTGAATACCTGCAATCACTTAAACCATGCTCTAATCTATAAAAATGTTTTAAATCGTCAATAAATTGAAAAAAAATGTAAAAAATTCATAAACCTATTTTCTTAAATTATAATGTGACAGTGAGTCAATGACAGAAACAAAAAAGTCATCCAAATTTAATATGAAAGCTGGATTTTTGCAACTTTGTATTCATACTGATGACACAGACGATGCAGTCTTTTACATCCCCAATCAGCATTACCAATGTACAGAAGTAAGTAAAGGATTCCATAATTGTGAAATTCAAACTCTTCCATGCGCTATTTAAGTCTAATTAGCCAAAAGGGGTGCTAGGCCCCACATAGATGCCATCGGAATGTTAAGCTTGTGGGACACCATGATACCGACCCATGCACGCCCATCTCCTCAGCTTTAATATTCAAGGCCTTCCTCATGTCCCACGCACACGATCTTCTAAAAACATCTAAGAATAACTAATGAAAATATTTGCAAAATCTCGAAAAGTTTTATAATTTCAAGGATCCACACCGTTGCAATGAAAGAGCAGTTTTATTGGAAGGATATGATAATGAATAAAGATAAGCCGGTAAACACTTCTCATTAATTTTCGCTCATAAATGTGCTGTGAGAGCTCGTAATTAATCAGTTTATATTAGGTTAGATGGGATATATTATAAACTGACCAATTGCGAGCTGAAACGTCACATTGGTGAGAGGAAGTTAGGAAGAATGGTTTGAGGAAATTTAGTTGACAGGCCTTCCCAATTTTCGAATTGAGAATATAACCTGAAAAGGTTTTTGATTTTTTTGTTTTTGTTTTAAAAATCTGACCTAGCACACTTAAGCATAATTAAAGCAGCAAAAAGGGTTAGGGTGAAAAGATTTAAATGTTTGTGGGTTAAAGTATAATAAAAAGAAGTTGGTTTAAAATTTGAAAGACAAAACACATTCCTCTGCCATTAACACCTTCTTCTTCCTCTGTCATTAACACATTCTTCTTCCTCTGTCATTAACATCTTCTCCACCAAAGATCCCCCTCTTCCTACTCCTGACATTTCATCCAGGGATGTGTATCTCCTCTTTGCATTTTATATTTCTATTTACAAAGATTTAATGATTGATTGGGTTTGGGTTATGATTTTGATTATGTGGTTTAGGTTCTTGGGTAGTGTTTGATGTAATACAAGTTGAAAGGAGTGAGATTTGTTGATGATTTTCTTGCATTGTGCGTAGCTGGGGGTGGTAGCACTGATTATAGGTGAAGATGACTGAAAATGTATTCTGGAGCTAATGGATCGTTTAAGCGATCTGGTATATCGCTTAAGCGATCTAATATAAGTCTGGTATATAGCAGTAGATCGCTTAAGCGATCTGGTATGGTAGCAGATCGCTTAAGCGATCGGGTATATTTAGACCTGCAAAACGGGTTGGGACCAGCGGGCCGACCCCATACCCGAGTAAATTATATAGGGTACGAGTCTGTATTATTAAACCCACTTTTTAAGACCCGTACCCGGCCCTACCCATTTTGTAAATGGGTAGACCGGGTACACCCGCGGGTACCCGTTTTCAATTTAAAGAAAAAAACCCTGACATTCTTTGACTTTCTCTTTCGTAGCATGTGATGTGAGCAGACGCCTAAAAGCTAAAACACATTTTGTTTGCCTTCTCTTTCTCTCTCCAAACTTAACTTCTCTTTTTTTTTTTTTATTTCGTAGTCCGCGCCTTTCCTATCAAAATCATTCATAATATCCATTCATTCCTCTTCCCTAACCCACTAATTTTTCTTCCCAAAGAGTTTTTCAACAACCCACTCTTCTTCTTTGCGACTAAGGGGCTACTGCCTACTGGTATAATAGATCCAATTGATGGCGTAAAAAAAACTTGAATTCACCCAGCCCTTCTCACTTCTGGTTCATCAAGATAGGTTGTAGAGCAGCACATTTCCATTTCTTCAAATTGTTTTCTCTTTGTGTTTCTCAAGATTTCGAAGCTTTTAAGAATTTTTCTTTTTTGGGTTTGTTTTGTGTGGTTGAGTTATGGGAAGAATGAAAAACATTGTGTAATTTTGGAAACAAGTTTTCTTTTCTTTTTGTTTTTCTAAGGATTTGAAGATTTTGAGGTTGTTCTTTTTTGGGTATTTGCTTTTGGGTTTGGTTTGAAGAATGGTGATAAAGATGATGAGGTGGTAGCCATGATTGCCTTTTGTGAGTTGTGACGAAGAAGTACAAGGTGAAATTGGTGGTACAGAGGATGGAGGGGTGGGATTTGGCGCATTAGATTGCAGAGAAGAAGGAAGAAGAAAGAACAAAGATTAGCAGTTGAGATTTGTTGGAAGGCTTCTAAAGTCACCTTGAGTACTTTGAGAAGAAAGGTCAAGAGGAACTTCACTAGAAAAGTGGCCACCCGCGGGTCCAATCGTACCTATATAGGGTAGGGTATAGGCCTAAAGTATTGGACTCGTTTAGATCGACCCGTTTAAGACCCACACCCGTAAGACTCGTATCCGTTTAGACTCGGATTGTACCCGGCCCATCCGCCTGTTTTGCCAATCTAGGTATATGGCAGCAGATCGCTTAAGCGACTCATCAATTTTTTTTAAAGTCTATCTAACCCTTAATATATCGGTTAATAAATTTTTTTTTTTTATGATCGCTTAAGCGACCAAGGTTAAAAGCAAAGGATCGCTTAAGCAATAGAATAAATCGCTTAAGTGATTGTGCGTCTGGGCACTTATTAATTATGTCTTGTTCATGATTGCTTAAGCGACCAAGTGTAAAAGCGTAGAATCGCTTAAGCGATAACATAAATACAACCAGATCTCTTAAGCGACTAAGTCTAAATACACATGATTGCTTAAGCGAGAAATGAAATCTCTTAAGAGATCCAGTGTATTCGGATTATTTTTATTGTATTTCATTAGATCGGTTAAGCGATTAACGCTATCTTAAACATATAAGGTGTAGGATTCGTTTCGTAGACCATGACCATTATTATATTTTAATTAAATTAGTTCTTTTACGGCTATATTAAACATATATGGTGTAGAATGTTTACGTCTATATTAAACATATCAGGTGTACGATTCGTTCAGTGGACTATGACCGCTATTATATTTTAATTAAATTATAATTAAATTAGTTATTTCACGGCTATATTAAACATATATGGTGTAGAATGTTTACGTCTATATTAAACATATTAGGTGTACGATTCGTTCAATGGACCATGACCGTTATTATATTTTAATTAAATAAGTTCTTTTACGGTTATATTATATAAACATATATGGTGTAGAATGTTTACGTCTATATTAAACATATCAGGCGTATGATTCATTCAGTGGACCATAACCGTTATTATATTTTAATTAAATTAGTTCTTTTACGTCTATATTAAACATATGTCCATAAACATGAAAAAGAAATATTGAAGTAAATTACCTTTAATCGCTTAAGCGATCCCATCTATTTAACCTTGGTCTACAGAGTGCAAAGAAGATGATTGCAAAGTTCAATTTTATATTAATATTATATTTTTTATATATTACTTTCTTGCCAAGAACTAACAAAAATAATAGAATAACAATAGATCTTTCAGTTTTATGTACAGTGTTGATCGATAAAGACCGAAGTGTTCTTTTCACATTCTATTGAAATGAAAAAGATAATTAATAATAATTAATAATTAATAAAAAAAGACTAAATATTAAATAAACATTACAGAATATAATTTCTCACTCAAACATTCACAATAACAAAAGATTTGCTAATAAGTCTTCAACGGTTGGCCTTGACAACTCTCTCGATTTCATCATTCTTCTTGATGGCATAGCTGAAAATACAAGGATATAAAATCAGTTTAATACATCATAAAAGATTGACATACAACCAAGAGAAACTAGTGAACAAGTAAACGGAACAACATCTAGCCACTCACCAAACTATTCAACACCAAAAACAACTTGTCCTATGTCTAATAATAGTCAAGTGCCTATAATGCAAGAAAAAAAAAAGTAATTAACCGATATATTAAGGGTTAGATAGATTTTAAAAAATATTTGCGGAGTTGCTTAAGCGATCTGGTATAAATAAGCCTGATCGCTTAAGCGATCTACTGCCATATACCCGATCGCTTAAGCGATCTGCTGCCATATACCAGACTTATACCAAATCGCTTAAGTGATCCATTAGCTCCATAATATATTTTCAGTCATCTTCACCTATAATTGGTGCTACCACCCCCAGCTACGCACAATGCAAGAAAATCATCAACAAATCTCACTCTTTTCAACTTGCATTACATCAAACACAACCTAAGAACCTAAACCACTAAATCAAAATCATAACTCAAATCCAATCCATCATTAAATCTTTGTAAATGGAAATATAAAATGCAAAAAGGAGATATACATCCCTGGACGAAATGTTAGGAGTAGGAAGAGGCAGATCTTTTGCCATCATAGTAGCTTAGAGGCTTATCCCACTTCCAGCGAATAAAGTTGATTATATCCGATTCCGAAGATAGTGCAATCCTTATTTTATACCGCTTTGGGAGCTGCCTATTAGGCAAGGCACGTAGGGAATCAGCCTTTTTTTT